AGTCGACTGCACTCTAGGTCTGATCCATTTTCACTGGACAGGCTTTGGGCCGTCATTCGCCAATTATGTAACTCATTCTGGTGCTTGTATCATTGTAACCGCCATTTTAGCGTCTCAGGCAATTGCACAACTGCCTTCCGGTGACATTACCAATAAAGGAAATTAGTCCTTCCACTCATGTCAAGGAAATTAGTCTAGAATGGCGCTTGATTATCGAGATCAGATCGGATCGGATCAGTCACCGCCTGGCTTGTCAGTATTAGTTATTTTTTTTAGTCGAGTCGAACGCATACTGGAGGGTAGGCGAGGATAGGGGCGAAGATAGGTCGAGCCGTTCGCACTGATACTGGATTTCAGTTAAATTCGGGGCTTCGCAGCTCAACATTACCCATCCCGTGTGATGGTTTTCCAGGTCGAGTGTAGAGACTTGGGCGCATGGCGGGAATAACAGGTCCAGGCGGCTCGCTCGTCGTCCTAATTACTCTATGACTCGACCTATAGGATCGATTGCATTGTAGTTGCGGGTACGAACCATCAGGAATTGTCAGAAATTGTCGAGAATAGTCAGGAATCGTCAGGAATCGTCAGAACTCGTCAGGAGTCATGGCGGGAAGCGCTGGTCGAGGTCGCTTCCTCTTCGTCTTCCTGATCGCCCTCGTCGCGTCGGCCGCGCTGCGAATCTGGCTCGAGCTGCAACGGCAACCGGGACGCCAGCATACCCGTCAAGAGCAGACTCGACAATTGGCATGCGTTAACCCTAGTAACGAACCGATCAACTTGCAGACAACCTCTTCTTTGGATTCATTAACTTCTTCCTCCTCTTCCTCCTCCTCCTCCTCAGTACGGTCGCGGGGTCTTCTTGCACCTGAGCCGCCTCTTAGAGGACCTTCGTGGCAGCTTCCGCGAAACCTCGCGAGATTATTCCCAGGTCCGAACGGCGGGAGGGTGGACCCTTCGCAATTCCGGCTGCATATTAAAGTGCTGGTGTACGATCGTCCTGACGTGGCAGCTCGATGCTTAAAGGCGTTAGCGAGTGCTGAGTATGACGGGGATGTGGTAACCCTAGATATTTTCGTCGACCACACGTTTGGTAACCGTTCGGGAAAGTCCGCCTGGACGAGACGAGCTGCTGATCGGGTTGCGGTGGCTCACTCGTTATTGTCACTGTTGGATAAATTCACATGGCCGCACGGACCGAGGAGTGTACTGTACCGATCCCAGAATATGGGGATTCAGCCGCAGTGGTTGGAATCGTGGTGGCCTGAGAGCGTGAATGACGTGGCATTTGTGGTGGAGGATGACATGGAGGTTTCGCCGCTGTTTTATCGATATTTGAAAAGGCTTCTTGGAGTGTACTACTTCAACGCGTCCAATTTCAACCCGAGCGTGTATGGGGTCTCCTTTCAACGGCAGTTCTTCATTGCGGGTATGCCATGTGGGAATGGTGGGATGATAGGCATGATGGAGGGATGGTGGGTATGGTGGGTATGGTGGGTATGGAGGATGGGGGATGGGGGATACGGAGTGGTGGGGAAAAGGGGAGTGGGTAATGAAAAGGGGGAGTGGGGGTGGTGGGGGATGAGAGATGGGAAATGGTGGGAAATCCATCAGCAGAGCATTGAGATTCCCCCTTCTTGTCCGTGTCATTGTCCCTTCCCTGCAACACTTTCCTGATTTACCACATCACAACCCTCCTTACCAGGCTTCAACAATGGCCACAGTGCACGCTTATGAGGCGCCTCAAAGACACCTTTTCCTCCTTCGACCGCATCACACCCCCCCTTCACACCTCCCTTTCACACCCCCCCATCGCACTCCCCCTTCACACCCCCCTTCACAAACCCCTTCCTCAGGCTTCAGTAGTGGTCTTAACGTGTATGACCCCTCCGACCCTTTCCTGTACCAGCACGTGTAGCCCATCCCTCTCCCATTCACACCCCCCTTCACACCCCCCCTTCCCCAGGCTTCAACAGTGGTCTGAGTGTGTACGACCAGCCGGACCCCTTCCTCTACCAGCACGTGTAACCCATCCCTCTCCTCTCCTCTCTGCATCAGTGTTCCTTCCCTGTTTGTTCCCTCCCCAACCCCCCTCCCCTGCCTCCCCTCTTCCCCAGGCTTCAACAGCGGGCTGAACGTGTACGACCATCCGGACCCCTTTCTCTACCAGCTAGTCGGCACATGGGGCCAGTTCCTCCTCCCAGCCCCCTGGAAGCAGTTTCGCCTCTGGTACGACATGCGCCGCTACAACTCCACCCGAGAACCCTCACTCGACGGGCTAAAAACCACAGTCTGGTTTAAAAATAAGGGTAATCGCCTCTGGACCCCCTGGATTATCAAGTGGGCGTATGCCAAGGGTATGTTCAATCTTTACCCCTCGCCGCCCGGGAATCTTTCGCTCTCGATCTCGCACCGGGAGAAAGGGTCGAATATGCCGAAGAACCGGGGGGCCGATGCCGCCCTTTTGACCCCCCAGAAGCTGGCTGCCGCCCTGGCTGCTGCGTCTTCATCTGCTGCGTCTGGCTCAGCAGGAGGGGCGGCAGGGAGGGGTGCAGCTGGCGCTACAGCCGGAGGGGCGGCAGGGAGGGTTGTAGCAGGAGGGGCGGATGTAGCATGGGCGCGGTCGATCAGGGCGTGGTGGGTTCGGCCTCTGCCGGTGCTCCGGAGGTTGGAGCGGCATGATCTATGTTTCCGGCAGTTACGCTGGTTACCACCTGCGAAAACGCTGGAGGAGTTTCATTCCCTGCTGAACGCTGTCGCTCCGGTGAGCCTGGGTGAGGGGAGAGAGAGTGGCAGGAAACAAGGGGTGAAGAGGGCGGGGAGATTAAGGAGTTGTTTAGGATGGGCCACAGGATGGGCTCTCAGCGTCTTAGATGAAACAAAAGATCCGTGGTTACTATCCTTTCTCATAATATTTTTTCGACCTTCTTCCCATGTTACATTCCCTCCCTTGCACACTCATTCACTCTCCTTACCACCTTTTTTCCCTTGTGCTCTCTCCCCTTGTCTTGTCTCTTCAGGAGAAATATGTGTCTCTGATTGTGGTGCCTTTTGACGGTCGAGATCTCATCAACAACTGGCTCTGCCACATCGACGGCTCCGGCGTCTCCAACATCATCCTCATCGTTCCATGCGCCAGGCTGGCAGCTGAGCTGGCAGCACGTGGCTATGCTGTCTTCTACCTGCCACCTGTCACCCGTCGCAGGATCTTGCGACACCTGGAACGGAGCAATGGTGCTGTCTCAGCAGCTGCAGGCGCTGGTGATAGCAGTAGCAGTGGCAACAGCAGTAGCAGTAGCAGTAGCAGCAGCAATGGGGGTACGGATGAAGGTGGAACTAGTTTCGGGGGTATAGGCACCATCACCAGCATTGGCATTGACAGCCTGTTCTGGAAGGATGATCCATCCTCAGATGGCTATACCTCCACCAGTGCAGCAGAAGATGAGGAGGATGGGGAGGGGGATGGGGACAGTCTTTTTGGCCGCACGAGCAGCAGCGACAGCAGTGGGGATGGTAATGGTGACGGTTCAGGTAACCCTGTGGGTGTTACGGGCTATGGAGGGGCGGAAGAGGAGGAGGAGGATGAGGTGAGGAGGAAGAGAGGGTTGGAGGATCCTGTTGAGGTCAGCAGGAGGAGGAGATTGAGCGGGCGCAACCACTGGACTGCCCGACATGTTCAGTTAGTTCTAACCGCTCTTTCTCTCGGCTTCAATGTGGCTATAGGGAATGCGGATACTATATGGAGGGGTGATCCCTTGGCAGCGGATACAGTCACGCGTGTTGATCCGAGCTTTCAGATGTGGGGTCGTCTGGACGCCGTTGATTTCAGCTCCTCGTTCCTCGTCGTGCGATCCTCACCGTCGACCATCGCTGCGTGGGGGCAGCTCGAAAAGTTTTGCACGCGGACCCCGCTGCTGACCAACGTGCTTGCGGGCAGCATGGTGGTTAATTTCGACGTGGGGGAGGTGGAATGTGGGGGAGGGGGGAGCCGGCAGCAGCAGCAGCAAGCAGCACAGGTGCTAAGTAACACTGTTAGTTTCAAAGAAGCAGGGACGATACCCTTTGGGCCGCAGGAGGGGGTGAGGGTTCCGAAAGGTTGGCTGTTGCCGGTGATAGTGCCTCCTTATGCGGGTAAAAAGGAGGATAAAATTGCATCGCTGAGAGGGGCTCGGCTGTGGGTGATTGATGATTTTGATCACGCGTGTAAGGCTGTCACGTGTAGAAGACAGTTCTAATCTAAGACAGCACTTACACTCTTTCGTTTTTTTTTTTCGTATAAAGAAATTTCATAAGATTGCCTACAATATGGTTGATTGTTCAGACGAACCGCTTGAGATTGTTGTGACCTGCATGAGACGTTCTATATGGCTGGGAGGCAGTCAGTTGTATTGTCACGTGCGTGTCTGCTATCATTGCCAGCACTGCACTGCACTGCAGCCATGATTGAGAAGCTGTTATTACTGCCTGATATATTCCAAGTTCTTGGCTGCCCTGTTCTGTCTGTCCTCCCATAGCTTGTGGTGCATGCAGTGCAGAAACCAGCACTACAGTGGTAGCCCCTTGACTGATTAAGTTTACAGCTTTGGTGCTTGGCTGTAACGGGGGGGACGAGACATGCTACCAAAATATACAGTAGACTACAGAATGGACGCAAGCAACACATCAGAACATGTGAGGCGAAAGGAAAATACAGTACAAAAAGCCATGAATGAATGATCAGTACAGTACAGTAGCCGTACTGCTGCTGCAGCATGCAGAGAAGAGTAGGAAGCACTTGATAGCGGCTGCTTGGCTGGTGGCAGAGATGCAAGGCGTGAGTATGAAGTTCCCAGCAGCTTAACCACTAGGAGAAGAGAGTAGCAAGCACTTGGTGGTGGTTCCGAGGCTGGTGGCAGAACCAGGAAAGATGTCCCTCCCCTGGCAGCTCATACAGCCTCACCAGACGTGACAGCTGCTGCTGCAACATGTAGAGCAGAGAGCAGCACTGAGGCCACTAGACGCCACTAAGAGAAGAGAGTGGAGAGCACTTGGTGGTGGTTCTGAGGCTGGTGGCAGAACCAGGAAAGATGTCCCTCGCCAGGAAGCTCATACAGCCTCACCACATGCGGAAGCTGCTGCTGCAGCCAACGCTGCAGCGAGAGAGGCACTAATACGTCCTTCGTGCCATGCCATATGTGCACCAAGAACGGAGGGGCGGGGGACGGCGAGGACGGGAGAGGAGCGGTCGATGGGGGTGGATTTGCGGTGGCAGAAGGGGATGTTGCCTTGGATGATTCACATGTGGAGTCTCGGATACTGGCGATATCGCCGATGTCTTGGGTATGATCAAAGCACCCAGTATCACAGATGTCTTGGGTATTATCAAAGCATCCGATATCACAGATGTCTTGGACATCGAAGGGCCAGGGGCGGCTGAAGAGTTCAACGTCCTTGGCCATGCCCTCGCCGTGCGCTCCCATAAGGAGCGACTCGATATTGTCGTTCAGCAGCGCCTGTGCGCCCTGCGCGTGCAGCAGGTACTGGCGGTCGGCGTGTGAGAGGCTGTGCTGCAGGCGCTGAACCCATAAGGGACCTGGGAAAGGGGCGGGGAGAAGGGAAGAACGATGTTGCAGATTAAAAGGCGGATGAGCCCATGGGAGAAAACAACTGACTCAAAAATTTGATGCTAGTCGCTGAAAACAATTGCACTCACCAGCCAAGGCAACGAAGTTACAGATGAAGAGGCGGATGAGCCAGAGAGGGGCGTAGCGGCCGAAGGGGCACAGCAGCCGAAGGGGCACAGCACGTACTGAAATTCATAGAAAGGCACTAACCAGAGAAGGGAACGATGAAGTTGCGAATGAAGAGGCGGATGAGCCAGAGAGGGGCGTAGCGGCCGAGACGGAGGGAGCGGCGGGAGTGGGGCGTCATGCCGGCGAACATGGCCTCCCTATCCTGCTCTGATATTCCCTGTGGGAGGGGAATGAATGGAGGGATGTGAGGGGGGAGGGGAGTGCGAGGAAAGGGCATGTTCCAGCAGGAAATATCCCACCATCACAGCATCCGGACGGCAAGGGTCATGCAAGCATCATGCCTTTCAGCACAGTCTACCTACCGTTCAGCGAAGTCACACCTACCCATTCACTAAAGTCACACCATTATTCACTACAGTCACACCTGCCAGTAGAATGAGCTGAAGGGCGCCCACATGGCAATTCCCAGGATGCGGTGGGGAATGTAGTGCGCTGCCGCCCAGCAGTACGCTCCTCCTGCTGAGTACCCCAACAGGTAGAACCTGATTGGGGAGAAGAGGAAAGGAAATGTCACTGACCACTCTCACTGACCACTCTCACTGACCACACTCACTAATTGGTCACTCTGAATCGATCCTCTCTCTTGTGCCCCAGAACAAGGTCCGCACAGAAGGAGTGCACGTGGTCTTCTGACCACCCACACTGACCACCCACACTGACCACCCACACTGACCACCCACACTGACCACCCACACTGACCACCCACACTGACCACCCACACTGACCACCCACACTGACCACCCACACTGACCACCCACACTGACCACCCACACTGACCACCCACACTGACCACCCACACTGACCACCCACACTGACCACCCACACTGACCACCCACACTGACCACCCACACTGACCACCCACACTGACCACCCACACTGACCACCCACACTGACCACCCACACTGACCACCCACACTGACCACCCACACTGACCACCCACACTGACCACCCACACTGACCACCCACACTGACCACCCACACTGACCACCCACACTGACCACCCACACTGACCACCCACACTGACCACCCACACTGACCACCCACACTGACCACCCACACTGACCACCCACACTGACCACCCACACTGACCACCCACACTGACCACCCACACTGACCACCCACACTGACCACCCACACTGACCACCCACACTGACCACCCACACTGACCACCCACACTGACCACCCACACTGACCACCCACACTGACCACCCACACTGACCACCCACACTGACCACCCACACTGACCACCCACACTGACCACCCACACTGACCACCCACACTGACCACCCACACTGACCACCCACACTGACCACCCACACTGACCACCCACACTGACCACCCACACTGACCACCCACACTGACCACCCACACTGACCACCCACACTGACCACCCACACTGACCACCCACACTGACCACCCACACTGACCACCCACACTGACCACCCACACTGACCACCCACACTGACCACCCACACTGACCACCCACACTGACCACCCACACTGACCACCCACACTGACCACCCACACTGACCACCCACACTGACCACCCACACTGACCACCCACACTGACCACCCACACTGACCACCCACACTGACCACACCTGACCACCCACACTGACCACCCACACTGACCACCCACACTAACCACCCACACTGACCACCCACAACTGACCACCCCCACTGACCACCCACACTGACCACCCACACTGACCACCCACACTGCCCACCCACACTGACCACCCCACACTGACACCCACACTGAACACCCACACTGACCACCCACAATGACCACCCACAATGACCACCCACACTGACCACCCACACAGACACCCACATGACCCCCACACTGACCATCCCACACTGACCAACCCCACACTGACCACCCACACTGACCACCCACCACGGGGGGGGGACCACCCACACTGACCACCCACCACTGAGCCACCCACACTGACCACCCACACTGACCACCCACCACTGAACCACCCACACTGCAACCCACACTGACCACCCACACTGACCACCCACACTGACCACCACACTGACCACCCCCACTGACCACCCACACTGACCACCCACACTGACCACCCACACTGACCACCCACACTGACCACCCACACTGACCACCCACACTGACCACCCACACTGACCACCCACACTGACACCACCCACACTGACCACCCACACTGACCACCCACACTGACCACCCACACTGACCACCCACACTGACCACCCACACTGACCACCCACACTGACCACCCACACTGACCACCCACACTGACCACCCACACTGACCACCCACACTGACCACCCACACTGACCACCCACACTGACCACCCACACTGACCACCCACACTGACCACCCACACTGACCACCCACACTGACCACCCACACTGACCACCCACACTGACCACCCACACTGACCACCCACACTGACCACCCACACTGACCACCCACACTGACCACCCACACTGACCACCCACACTGACCACCCACACTGACCACCCACACTGACCACCCACACTGACCACCCACACTGACCACCCACACTGACCACCCACACTGACCACCCACACTGACCACCCACACTGACCACCCACACTGACCACCCACACTGACCACCCACACTGACCACCCACACTGACCACCCACACTGACCACCCACACTGACCACCCACACTGACCACCCACACTGACCACCCACACTGACCACCCACACTGACCACCCACACTGACCACCCACACTGACCACCCACACTGACCACCCACACTGACCACCCACACTGACCACCCACACTGACCACCCACACTGGACCACCCACACTGACCACCCACACTGACCACCCACACTGACCACCCACACTGACCACCCACACTGACCACCCACACTGACCACCCACACTGACCACCCACACTGACCACCCACACTGACCACCCACACTGACCACCCACACTGACCACCCACACTGACCACCCACACTGACCACCCACACTGACCACCCACACTGACCACCCACACTGACCACCCACACTGACCACCCACACTGACCACCCACACTGACCACCCACACTGACCACCCACACTGACCACCCACACTGACCACCCACACTGACCACCCACACTGACCACCCACACTGACCACCCACACTGACCACCCACACTGACCACCCACACTGACCACCCACACTGACCACCACACTGACCACCCACACTGACCACCCACACTGACCACCCACACTGACCACCCACACTGACCACCCACACTGACACCCACACTGACACCCACACTGACCACCCACACTGACCACCCACACTGACCACCCTACACTGACCACCCACACTGACCACCCACACTGACCACCCACACTGACCACCCACACTGACCACCCACACTGACCACCCACAATGACCACCCACACTGACACCCACACTGACCACCCACACTGACACCCACACTGACCACCCACACTGACCACCCACACTGACCACCCACACTGACCACCCACACGACCACCCACACTGACCACCCACACTGACCACCCACATGACCACCCACACTGACCACCCACACTGACCACCCACACTGACCACCCCACACTGACCACCCACACGGACCACCCACACTGACCACCCACACTGACCACCCCCACTGACCACCCACACTGACCACCCACACTGACCACCCACACTGACCACCCACACTGACCACCCACACTGACCACCCACACTGACCACCCACACTGACCACCCACACTGACCACCCACACTGACCACCCACACTGACCACCCACACTGACCACCCACACTGACCACCCACACTGACCACCCACACTGACCACCCACACTGACCACCCACACTGACCACCCACACTGACCACCCACACTGACCACCCACACTGACCACCCACACTGACCACCCACACTGACCACCCACACTGACCACCCACACTGACCACCCACACTGACCACCCACACTGACCACCCACACTGACCACCCACACTGACCACCCACACTGACCACCCACACTGACCACCCACACTGACCACCCACACTGACCACCCACACTGACCACCCACACTGACCACCCACACTGACCACCCACACTGACCACCCACACTGACCACCCACACTGACCACCCACACTGACCACCCACACTGACCACCCACACTGACCACCCACACTGACCACCCACACTGACCACCCACACTGACCACCCACACTGACCACCCACACTGACCACCCACACTGACCACCCACACTGACCACCCACACTGACCACCCACACTGACCACCCACACTGACCACCCACACTGACCACCCACACTGACCACCCACACTGACCACCCACACTGACCACCCACACTGACCACCCACACTGACCACCCACACTGACCACCCACACTGACCACCCACACTGACCACCCACACTGACCACCCACACTGACCACCCACACTGACCACCCACACTGACCACCCACACTGACCACCCACACTGACCACCCACACTGACCACCCACACTGACCACCCACACTGACCACCCACACTGACCACCCACACTGACCACCCACACTGACCACCCACACTGACCACCCACACTGACCACCCACACTGACCACCCACACTGACCACCCACACTGACCACCCACACTGACCACCCACACTGACCACCCACACTGACCACCCACACTGAACCACCCACAGGTGATTGGTGATTAAATGGTGAACCCACTCTCTTGCATCCCAAGGCAAGAAGATCCGCCAGCTCCTCGAAGTCCGCACAGAAGGAGTGCAGTGTGAGGGCTGGCGCGGGGTGGGACTGTGGAAACCGCTATCACATACCACCTGCACGTGCTTGATCACTCCGCATCTATCCACTCACTTGTGCCCCAGCGAGAGCAGATCCGCCAGCTCCTCAAGGTCCGCACAGAAGGAGTGCAGCGAGAGGGCTGGCGCAGGGTCGGACTGGCCGTACCCTGGACGATCGATGGCCACCAGCCGGACACCGAAAGAGCACAGAAGCTCGTCCGTCACTCCTGAGAGAAGGGGGGGGAGGGGGGGGGGGGGGGGGGAGGGGAGGGGGGGGTTTAAGGGTTTAGAATCCACAAAAAAGTCAGGAAAAGCAGCATCCGGGAATTTGAATGCACGTTGTCATTCGAAGTGTCTGAAATTTTGAGACTTTAGCTCACCTGGCATGTTGGCGAGTCGCGACGATCCCAGGCCATGCAGCACCAGCAGCGTCCGCGTCGCCTGTGCTGCGCCCATCCCTTTCTCCAGATACGCAATTCGCCGCCCGCATCGCAGGCGCACCGTTGCGGCGCGCGCACGAGTCGCCACGACGGCGTGAGGCAGCGAGTAGGTGACGTCCGGCGTCGGCGTGCGCAGTGGCGGCGTCCGCGCTACAGGGGCTGGAGGCTCTTCGGGGGCTACAGGGGCTACAGCCTCTACAGGCGCTTCAGGCGCAACAGCCGCTGCCGCAGCTGGCGCGGGCCCGCTCCCCCACGCGGCGAAGACAGAATTCACCACTGTAGCTTCCGCCACAAGCGCCGGAGGAGTGGCTTGCGCGGAATTTTCCGCCATTGCTGTGTCAGTGCGGGATGCCAGGGGCGCAGTGAAGCAGCAGGCGCGAAATACCGAAGCCGGAGAGTATGTGATGTAACGTGATGTCAAACCCAGGAAATCTAGTCTTGAGACGTCTCAAAACGAGTATGTGCCGTACGCGATGTCAAACGCAGGAAATGAGGAATGCAGGAAATCCGCACCACAACGGATCAAGCGGCGGCGATCCTCTGTCGGTCAGTCGCCTCTCGTTCCCTGTCGTCACACGACGAAAAGAGGCTTCCACGAACGAGCGTAGCGCCATGCCGTGGCCCCATGCCCACGCCCACTCGATAGTTCGCTCGGCGCCTGGCTGGCGCCACGCTGTGCAAGGCTCATCCACCTAAACACAGGCGTGGTGCTGTGTTTCGACGCATGCCGCACATTGCGGTGGAATTTGCAATAATGTGTGTCGCAGTAACTGGCTCGATTTGTGTTGAGCTAAAAAGTGGGTTCACTTCGTTTTTATGTTTTGTGGCCATAAACCGCAGTGCTGAAGCGGCTGATATCGAGGATGTGTACCCTCGGAGGCCGCCATGAATTACCAGAGCTTTCGGCACGATCGAAAAAATAGTGGGAGAAATAATCGTCTGTGCCTTTTTGTTAGAATGTTAAATCACTTTACATTGTAAAATTATCTTCTGAAACATCAAAATCTGTTCTTTCACTCCCTTATCCCATCTTATGTTGGCAACCCCAAGGTTTTCAAAATCACGGCACTGCCACAGTGGCGTCTTTGCGAGCCGCTTTGGGTCACGGAAAAGCTGACGCGGCCCGACGTGGGATGCAGAGACCGTGCGAGCAGCCCCATCGATATCTGCCTTGCTGTTAGATCTGACGGTAGAAAACAATTTTCAGATTGCATAGTATTCAGAGATCCTCCGATACGATTGGCCCTTCCCCCGCAAACTTTATCGCGCAACTCTCAAGGGTGGCCTCGAATCCTCGATCTGACCGACCTGAACGCGCACGCAGGGGCCAGAGGCCTTTTCCGCCCGCCTTATTTTGAACTTCCAACATATGCTCTTCCCCCCTACTTTTGCTTCCGCCCTCTACGCACTCTCCTCCCAGTCTGTCATATCGCTCACCCCCTTGCATTTCCCCGATTTCCGCTTCGTCTGCCCCAACTTCGCGCGTTTCGCTTCTCCGCAACCCTTCCCCCTGCCTCCCCCCTCATCGTCCGCCCCTGTACCTTCCCCTACCCTTTCCCCTTATCCCTCTGCCCTCCTTCCCCTTCCCCTTCCCCGCTTCGATTTAGTGAGCGAGTGACCATACCACAACGACCAGGTCTGGGTGCTCCCAAGTTAGTTAGCATTTCAGATCTCAGACTTGGTTTGTAGGGTAGGCTGACCGAAAGTCCCGCTCAGCCTTCTGTCAGGGTAGCACATTGGGAGCATCCACGCCGTCTCTGCTATCCAATAGATGTTATTATTCTTAACATCCGTTTGCTAAGTTAGTGGTTTTTTTTTTACCTTACGAAGTTCATGTAAGCAGCTAAGAGTTTATGTAAGCACCTAAGTCTAAACGCTTTATCCGCCGATTGCCGTGTAGTCTGCTAATAGCCCCTCAATGGCGACTCAAGCCATCGTCGCGATGCGCATATGCGCGCCTCCCGCCCTTGCGCCCTACATGGGCGCGCGGTGGCGGAAAGCTCCCAATACCCCGCAGTTCAGCACCGCCTTCGTCGTTCCCATGCGGCCGAAACGCGTAACGCGTAAGTCCGCTAATCTACCACCGCGTCTTATCACCAGAACGTTATCAGCGACGTGGAACAGGCTCGTTGGAACAGGAGCCTGAAAGGGGGAAAAGGGTTCGTGTTACGTCGACCAGCTTTCGCGTCGTTTAATCGTGCTAGTTATATACCATACGTGTCAAAATGCAGCTTATGTACGGCGGTTGGTCACCGTTGTGGGATATCTGTCATTGTCGTCGTCCAAGAGTCTGGCGATGCAGCCGCCGTACTTTAGTGCACAGCGTCAGAACTTAATCCGTCACCCTTACACTGCAGCGAACCTTTTTATAGACGTCGCAAGATGTAGAACTGGCCTGACCTCTCCCGTTTGCGTCTCGCCCACGTGGCATTGCTGGACTGGCTGGTGCTTGCAGTGAGCTTCAGGCGCAACTGCCGTCGCCCGATCTCCGCCATCTTCCGCGCTCAGCGGTACGTTCTTTGCCCTCGCATTAATACTTCATAGGTTACCTTCTTACATTCTCCGCATTACTTCCGCCGGCAGCTTCCGCGTTCCTCCCCCTCCGCATCTTTCCACGTCCTCCGCGTTTCTTTCCCACCACTCCCCAACCCCCCCTCTCCCTTCCCCCGCGCATTACTCCACCCTACACCCTCCTCACTGTCAAGCCACTCACTGCACTGTTTATCCCGCTGTCCCTTCTTCCCCTTCCCTCTCCCCTTTTCCACCCCTCCCCTTCGTTACTCCACCCGACACCCATCTCACCTTCAGGCCACTCACTGTACTTTTTTTCCCGCTGTCCCTTCTCCCCGTTCTCTCTCCCACTCCCCTTTTTCCCTGGCACTCTTAACCCGCCCCGTTCGCGCAACTCCGCTGTTCTCTGCGTTTTGCCCTGTTGCGCAGAGCGGGCGAGACGCGACCGGGAGCGCGGTCGTGGATGGAGCGCATGGCGAAGGCGGCGGAGGAGATGGCGCGCGGCGCGGAGCGCGCGTCGAAGGAAATGGCGAAGGTGGCCGCGGCGACGCTGGAGAACCACAGCAAGGTCCGCTGCGTGGAATAATGCGGAGGGGGGTGGAGTGGGTGGCGGCTCGGAGGGGGTTCGGGAAGTTAAGTAGAGAGTCTGGGTGCGGCAGTTAGCGAGACGGGACGCGGGAAAGAGTAAGCGAGGGAGGCGGGGGTGGTTGGAACGAGGTGGAGTGGCGAAGGTGAGGCGGGACGAGGTGTGATGGACAGGCGACGGGTGGACCTGTGCGAATGTCGTGGTGCTGTTCCTGCCTTTCTTGGACTCGGTTTCTTGCACCCCCTCTCCTGGTTTCATCCTCTCCCGTTTTTATCCACTCCGCTTGTCTTCCTGTCCCGTTCTCTTGCGTGGATTCCACCAGGCCATCGAAGCGGCGTCGCCGCTGCTGTCGCAGATCGTGGGGGGAAACGAGAAGGCGAGCAACTTCATCGCGAATCTCATCGTTCCGCACGGTATGCATTTGACTCATCCATCGGGTTTTGGGCGGTTAACTTCGCACGACTCTATTACAGGTTATCCTCTTATCGTGTTTTATTGTAACCGCACCGCGTTCTGTTTTCTCCGCCACTCTCTCTTTGCAAGCCTAACCTTACGCGTTTTCCGCACCTCTCCTCTTCCGCCGTGCGCCAGCCCCTGGAGCCTCCGCCAGCGGATCTTCCGCCACCTCCCCGCGCTCAGCAGCTCCGCAGCAGTTGGCGGAAGACCACCTGCGCGAGGTGTCCGATGACGTGGTAGCCCACGTCAGCATCAAGCCTGCCAACGTGGCGCCGATGACGTCATCGTTCACATCCCCGTCATTGGGCGACGATGATTCCGCTGCTGCTGCTGCGGCTAACGCGGATCCTACCTCGGTCCCACTGGAAATGCGCAAGGTGCGCATGTGATGAATGGTTAACGCTGGGACGTAGTGCAATGGCTGTGGGCCGTATGGAGCATGCAGGCTTCATGTTACTCTGTTATTCCGTCCGTGATACCATTTTTTTTTTTTTTTTTTTTAATCATTATTGGTCCTTGCAGGCGGGCGCGCACGTGCTGGAGGGGCGGGAGGAGCGCGGCGCAATGCGCGCGGAGCTGCAGGCGCTGGAGGCGCGCATGGACGCGGCTTCCGCGGCGGTGGAGGCGGCAAAGAGCCGCCGGGGGGAGCTGCTCCAGGCGCACCCGGAGGTGCGTCTTAGCGCTGGGGCGGGGAAAGACGGGGGAAAGGTGGGGTGTGGACTGGTGACGCGTGGGGTGTGGGATGGGGTGACGCGTTCTCAACAGTCACCTTGTTGTTCATTCCCCCTCCCATAACTCTCTCCTCTCACCCGCCTCCTCCCCTCGACCACCTTCTGTTCCCCCCGTTCCCCCCAGCTGCGGCAACGTGTGACCGACGTGGTTGAGGGGAAGGTCACTCCACGCGCCTGTAGTCACCCCCCTCCCCCACCTTTCCCCCGTTCCCCCCATTTTCCCCCGTTCTCCCCCATTCCCCCCCGTTCTCCCCAGCTGCGGCAACGTGTGACCGACGTGGTTGAGGGGAAAGTCACTCCACGTGCCGTCACCGTCACCCCCACGGCTGTAGCGCCGTCCTCTCCGTCTAACGCGCCGTCTAATGCGCCGGGCAACTCGGACGCGGAGGGAGAGGCGCAGGAGGAGTGGGAGGAGGCGGAGGAGGAGCAAGCGCAGGCGCAGGGGGGCGCGCACGGGGCCGCGCAGCAGGGGATGGTGGCGGGGTCGGTGCAGGCGCTGCGGGCGGGGCGGCATAGGCAGCGGGAGCGGCTGCAGCGACCGGGCGTTGAGAGGAGGCGACAGCACGCCGCTCAGGTGGGTGTTGGCAGTGAGGATGGCTGACTGGGGAATCGGGAAAGGGGACGGTGGTAGGTTGTAGGCAGAGAGAGCGGCTGCAGCGACCGGGCGTGGAGAGGAGAGGATGGGGGCAGGGAATGGGGTATGGAAGGTGCGGATTGGGGATAAGGATTTGGTGGGGAAGGATTTGGGGAAGGTTGTAGGCAGAGAGAGCGGCTGCAGTGGGCAGGCGTTGAGAGGCACCAGAGAGGCGGTGCCAGCACGCTGCTCAGGTGGGGAAAGCCTGAGGAGCGTGCGTGCGTGCTTTTGAGGCGCCTCAACTTTTAAGAATTCGCAAAAGTGATTCTCAGGTGGGGAAAGCCTGAGCAGCGTCCGTGCGTGCGTGCTTTTGAGGCGCCTGAAAAGCATCAGAGAAGGCGGCAGCACGCTGCTCAGGTGTCTACTTTTGAGGCGCCATTACTCCCGTCCTCAAAAGCAGACGATGATAGTCGGTGACACCACGCCGCTTAGGTGGGGAATGGACGAGAGGAATGGTGAACGGGGGAAGGGGGAAAGCGGGGAGGGCTACTGACATGGTGCGCCTCTCTCATGACATGATGACATGGTGCGCCTCTCTCATGACATGATGACATGGTGCGCCTCTCTCATGACATGATGACATGGTGCGCCTCTCTCATGACATGAGGACATGGTGCGCCTCTCTCATGACATGATGACATGGTGCGCCTCTCTCATGACATGATGACATGGTGCGCCTCTCTCATGACATGATGACATGGTGCGCCTCTCTCATGACATGATGACATGGTGCGCCTCTCTCATCTCTCGTTCAACTTCCTCTCGTATCTTCTTCTCCCATCTCCCACTCTCAACTCCCCACTCCCGTTTCTCTGTCACTGACCCCACCAGGTGCGTCTGTCTGTGCTGCGCTCACTGGCAGAGCGTCACGGTGGGCTGGCGCAGAGCACACTCGCGAGCACAGTCGCGCAGGCAGCTCTTTCCAATTTCCCCTCTCATTATTCATTTCCCGATTCCCATTCATTTCGTGTGCCCTGCTCGCCCCCGCCAGGTGCGTCTGTCGGTGCTGCGCTCGCTGGCAGAGCGACACGGTGTGCTGGCGCAGAGCACAGTCGCGCAGGCGACAACTGGACAGGCAGTAACTGCACAGGAGAGCGAGCCAGTGCAGGTCGCAAGGGAGGAGCCGCAGCAGCAGCAGCAGCCTCATCAGCCTGTGGTTGACACGGCAGCACTGTCGCCTGTGGAGCTGGAACTGGTGAGAGCACCCTCCCTCCCCTTACGTTGTATCCCTGCCATGCACCTCCTGCTGCCATGCATCTCCTAGTGACATGTGGCAGCAGCAGCAGCCGTTGCCGCTGCTGCCTGTGGTGGTCACGGCAGCACTGTCCCCTGTGGAGCTGGAACTGGTGAGAGCACCTGCCATGGGATCCCTGCTGCCTCCCCTCCCATGTGCCCTCCCCTCCCCTGCCCTGCCCTGCCCTGCCCTGCCCTGCCGTGCATCCCCTGCCGCCTGTGGTGGACACGGCAGCACTCTCTCTTGTAGAGCTGGAACTGGTGAGATCACCTACTGGAACTGGTAAGATCACCTGCTGTGCGCCCTCCCCTGACATGCACCTGCTGCTGCCTGCCATGCACCCCCCACCGGCCATGCACCCCCCACCGGCCATGCACCCCCCACCGGCCATGCACCCCCCACCGGCCATGCACCCCCCACCGGCCATGCACCCCCCACCGGCCATGCACCCCCCACCGGCCATGCACCCCCCACCGGCCATGCACCCCCCACCGGCCATGCACCCCCCACCGGCCATGCACCCCCCACCGGCCATGCACTCACTGCGCCCTCCCCTTGCAATCCCCATGCCTCTCTTCTCTTTCCCTGCATTCCCACCAGGTCAAGGCGGAGGAGTCATGGGACAAGTATTTGGAGGCGGTTGCGTGGACCAAGGCGCGTCTGCACTCACCCTCAACTGCCTTCCTCTCTCCGTCCCTCTCTTGCTCTCTTTCTCTCGCCCTTCCTTTCGCCAGGTCAAGGCGGAGGAGTCATGGGACAAGTATTTGGAGGCGGTTGCGTGGACCAAGGCTCGTCTGCACTCGCTGCGCTCGTCCGCGCCCTCCTCCTCCGCGGCGGCGCTGCTCAGCATGGAGGCGCAGCTCGTGTCTTCCCTCGCGTTCGCGCAGCAGCGCGCGGACGAGGAGGCTGCGCGCGTGGCGCAGCTGTGCGCGCGCGTGGGCGCGGACGCGGGGGAGAGGCGGCGGAGCAGGGAGGAGGGGCTGCGGAGGGCCGCGGAGGCTGGGGCGAAGATGGGGAAAGGCGCGGAGGGGGGGCCGGGAAACGGGGAGAGGGGGGAGCGGGAGGGAGATGAGGGGAAGAGGGTGGTGAGTGGCGGCAGCAGTGGGGGGTCGTTGGCAGGGATTGGCGACATGATGAGTAAGGTAAGATGCACAAGGGATGGTGAGACTTTTTTCCCCATGTATCCCATTGTTTTAAGCACCGCTTTAAAAGGCTTTTCTCTCCATGTTTCCCGTATCCCCCTCCCACAGCTTCTCTATTTCGAATGCTCCACCCACTCTTCCCTACCCCACCCTCAGCTCGCCAACATCCAGCCGATGCTCGAGTCAATGGCTGCTTCCCCTCTCCACCTGCCCCTTCCATCTGCCCCTTCCATTGCCCCTCCATTTCTCAAACCGTGTCTTCACCACCCACTCCCCCACGCCCTCCTCCCTCCCCCACCCTCAGCTCGCCAACATCCAGCACACGCTCGAGTCAATGGCCGCCTCGCCACCCTCCCTCGCACTCAAGGCCGCTCTCCCCTCGCTCTCCCCCGTCTCCCCCTCCTCCGCTTCAGCCCCCTCCCTCTCCCCCATCTCCTCCTCCTCCTCTTCCCCCTCCCTCTCCCCCTCCTCCTCCCCCTCCTCCGCCGTTGCCTCCCTCTCCTCCTCTTCTCACACTCTCTCTGCCTTTCTTGCTTCCCTCAAGTCCCCTCGCTCCTCCCGTTCCTCTCGCACCGCCACCTCTGCCCCTGCCCTCGCCACTGCAACCGGCACTGCTGTAGCAGCTGCACCTGTTCGTTCCACAGCAACAGTCACAGCAGAAGCAGCGGTGGGGACGGCAGCAACAGCAGCAGCAGCAGCAGCTGCGCCGTCTGCTTATAGCACGAAATTTGTAGGCAGGAGGGCGTCGGGTGGTGGGCGGCATCGTTCGGCCGAGGAGCGGGAGAATTACCTCAAGGTGTACGCGCGGGCTCTCTTCCCGTCGTACGTTGACACGTCAGCGTCGCCAGCTCAGCAGCAGCACGGAGTGGACGGATTGGTCCAGGAGCTCGTCCTACATGGCGCCAGTGAGGACTGGGCCCGAGGCTACATCGCCGAAGCTCTGCTCCGGCCGAACGTGGCTGCACCCAAGCCTCTGGCTGTTGCCATTGCATCCGGGCCTCCCTCTCCCCGTGCTTCTGCTTCACACGTATGTTTCCGCTGCTGCATTGTGAGTTGTCTTTTTTTATATCCTCTCATGTATATTTGTGCTGCTGACACTTGTATTGAGTTGCCTTAAATCGAATGTCCTCACATTTATGTGTACTGAGCAGGGAGCAACACAGAATCGGCGACTAACACCCACCCACCCACCATATTCCCTGTTGTCTGCTTCACTGAACCAAACTCCTTTCTTCTCTATCTCCCCCCCCCCCACCCCCCCCTCCCCTCCCCTCCCCCAGCACGAGTGTTCACAGCACGAGCTGCAGCAGTACGCACAGGCCATCCGCAGTGCCTATGTGGATGCATCCATGAGTGCCTCTGAGCGCGAGGTCGGCACCAGCCTCTTTGTCGAGGTGAGGCAGTTCCCTAGACACCCATCTGAGTTGTAGTTATAGGCTGAGTTGCCTCGAGCTGTTAGCCATCCATCGCGCCATCCGCAGTGCCTATGTGGATGCCTCCATGAGTGCCTCAGAGCGCGAGGTCGGCACCAGCCTCTTTGTCAAGGTAGTCATTGAGGCGTCCAATAGGCACTGCTGGTAAGTCGGTTTGTGAGAGAGGTGATGTTTTTCTCTGATCACCACTATTGGTAGTCATTGGTTTTGCTGAGCAGCCTCGAGGAATCAGTGACTTTTCTGTTTTTGAGATCTCTCGAAAGCCTTAGAGCTGGGTTTTCTCTGCCCACCCACCCCCATCTTCCGGCCTTTCCCCCCGCTCTGCCCTCCCCCCAGGAGTTGGCGGTGATGGGGGCAAAGGAGGAGGAGCAGTGGGCGAGGGTTTATGAGGCACCATCCCTCACCATCTCATTCACCGCATCCCATCCGTCTGTCCATCCCTCCCATTGGTCGATTATCCTCCCAGGAGCTGGTGGCGATGGGCGGCAAGGAGGTGGAGCAGTGGGCGAGGTCCTTTGTGGCTCAATCGCTGGCCACAGAAGTGCGCAAGCGCAAGGTCGTGCGCGCTTAGAGAACCTGCTTCTAACGAGTACAGCCGTCAAGGCGGTTAAGTCAACTCCGAATGCTCTCTCCTCAAGTCAAGCCAAAGTTTGCCTCAAGACAATCTCATTTCAAGCTCACTCAACCTCCATTCAAGCTCATGTCACCCTCTAGTCAGTCTCAAGTCAACCTCAAAGTCAACGTCAAGTCAACATCAAGTCAAGCTCAAAGTCAACCGCAAGTCAACCCAGTCAAGCCAAGCCAATCCGAAGGCGCCTTCCCAGTCGACCGAGTCTTCCAGACGCCTGATGGTTTCAACGCAGCAGGCACGGCATGGCTCTCTTCCATCCATGACGAGTGTCAGCACGACTCGCCCCCATCCGTGACTCTCTGCTATGCTGTCCCCGCTGTCTTTTGGGTCGGCACACAAGTCGCTTCGCACTCGCTGCATTGCCGTGCAGAGTTGCAGGCTGCCCTCGGCCCGTATGGTGCTTTCTGAGGGTTGTTAAATGCCGCCTGCAACTCTGTGCTGTTGCTGGTCTTGCTGGCATATGAGTCGGCCCGCCTCTCTAGTCGCTGCACTGACCGTGCTGGCATATGAGTCGGCTCAGAAATTGCCTCGCACAAGGAAGCTCGCCACCTCCCCGATGCCACTGCTTTTCTCTCTCTGCCCAATCTCAACGCAGTTGCTCTGTCAATTCTCTACTGCTGCTTCTTACTTACTGGTAGAGTGGGCAGTGCACTATTATGAATAGCCACTCTACCACCTTACAAATCAGACGTCCTCCACCCTGGGTGTATCAATCCAGTTATTTTTTTTTATTCTAGTAACCCTGCTCCTTATTCTTTTTTTTAGCTGCCCATCTTTTTATCTCCAATCATTTCATTGCTCCTGTGCCAAGGCGCTTCCCACCTGTAAGCTACGTAGGGTGCCATTTAGTGCTGTAGTGCTGGGTGTAAAAACATTTCAACAAAGCAGGTGGGAATACGGTAAGGCCCTTCAAACCTGGTCTGGTCAGCTTGAATTTTGAAGAGACAAGGGAGATGCACAATATCTAGCTGGTAATGAGAAAATGTACAGCAAGACTGTACCAGTGTTATGAAGAACAAGTCTTTACTGGAGTGCAAGCAGAGGAGCTTCAACATTCACACAAAGAAGGGGCTACATACCACGAAGTCTATCTGGACTAGACATGGTCGCTGCTGAAAAACAAGTACTACCGGTGCCCTAAAAAAAAGCCAGGCATGTACTAGAACCTATATACACGATGTAAAACCCCCTGTCCAGAACCATCCAGCTGACTTCAGCATTTAAGCAGCCAGAATTGTGGTGTTCTGTTCTTCCACAACCCCATCAGCCATGTTAGCTGGAAGTGCCTCCTTGAGCTTCTTTGGTGGTGCCAGCCCTAGGCCTGGAGAGACATGCCGTGCACACAAAATAGCGAGAGACATGTGGCAAGAAGAAAGCACAGAAGCATACAGGTGAGGAAATGAAGGAGAAACCCATGTACGGTAGCTGTGACCTTCAGAACAGAGGACAGAAGCATACGGATGAAGAACGTGAGAAGAGTATCTGGTGTAGAAACATGACCAGGAAGGAAAAAACATAGCCTACAAAACTAGAGCTTACCATCCATGATAGCCTTGAACGCCTCCTGCTCACAGCAATCAAGAGTACGGTTTAAGATTGTAGCAACACAGAAACACAGGTTACAGGCATTACAGCGAGAGAATGCACAAGGAGAAATGCAATGCAGCAGCTATCTGGGACAAACCTCACGGGAACATCTGTCAGACTGCCTCTCCCGAGCCAATCCCCTAGCTCTCTCACCTCGCCCTTTGTCAGCCTCGGGTTGTGCTTTCGCTCCTCTTCCACTGATGTTACCTGCCATTGGGGTTCATCCATGTCAGCACTATATCAATATATTCACAAAAAAAACCCAAGGTGGCATTTGCTGATGCACAGTTGCATTCGTAAATAGCAGGCAAAAAGTAATTTGGTTCTTACAGTTCGGCCTTGGTAGTCATGTGCAGGGTACAGGAGCGTGTCTGGTGGAAGTGACAATATCTGGAGGGACAAAAAAGGGGGACGAATCCTGTTTATCCTGCTCATATAACCATGATTTGAATCCACATTATGGCTCCATTGATCTGGTTATCAGCTCACCTGACAGTGGACTGAACGGTACAGCTCAGCAGCATCTCCTTCCTGAACAATGTACAGAGGATGTTAGATATTGGAGGATGCAAGTAATGAAGTGGAAAATGAGAAAATATAGATTTCAGCATGTGCATGCCCCTGCTGCAAGGATGCAGTTGTAACAGTGAAAGAGCAAACTAGACCCTGGAGTTTAACAAAACGCACCTGAAAGTCTGTCCTTCCACATCCTCTTATAAGCAACGCATCTCCGGTGAACGCCATCCTCGTTAAGAGCTTGTCAAAGGAGAACCCAGCACTTCCCAGGCGCTCCAAACCTCCATCACTTGCCCTCCACACGTTCCCTTCAAGAGAGTTCTCTAGTGCTGCTGCAAACGGCGCGGCTGTCTTGGTACGCTCCACCAGGACATATGTCACACACCCATTCGTGTGGCCTGGTGTCGACCGGACCTGCAAGACAGATTTGGGAATCAGATCGTCATGCCTTGGATATACCAAACTTAAACCATCTGCAAAAGCGAACTTTCAAGTCTAGTGTCAGGGAGGATCTTTTTAAGCACGAACCAAGGAAACTCTGTCCATCTGATCCTACTCGTGATTGCATACAGCAAAAGAGTACATACAGAAACACAGTGTTTGCTACTAATTCACCTGGAGGCCAAATCTGCCAAAGGCTATGACGTCACCGTGGCCCACCAACACGTCAGCTCGAGCTCCACTAGCAGACGAAATGACGGACTTGATGCCAGGTACCCGTTTCTTTGATCGGGATGGGGAGGGAGAGTGGATGTTGGACAAACGGAGGGAGGTTAGTGGGATAAGACAAAGATAAAGAGAGCCGGAAGACAAAAATATGGAATGGCGAGCTATTTTGATGGACAGTCGTGTGGGAGGTGTGCAGTGAGAAGCCCCAAAAGCTTTTTGGCGCCGATGCCGGGGATCGAACCCGGGTCTCTCGCGTGACAGGCGAGGATACTCACCACTATACTACATCGACACACCCTTCAATTTACTGCAAATTTATATATTTGTTACAAAACGGCTGACCTAATGGATACCTTCAGCAGACCAGTTCCAGTGACGTGGTCTGCGTGTGCGTGTGTGTTGAGGGCGAAACGAAGAGTCACTCCGAGCTCCTCAGCTAGCCGCACGTCGCGATCAACGGTCAAGTCAACGGGGTCGATCAGCTGGCAACAGAGCGAGTAGCGGGTAAGGATATTTGAAAATACTACGTTAGCCTGTGTAAGAATATGTTGATTTCCAGAGGCATGACTCTGAGATGAAGGTCGTGCTTACCACGCCGGGTCGCTTCGGTGCAGTTTCGTCAGCCAACAGGAAGGTGTAGGTGCTAGATTCCTTTTCAAACAGCTGACGGAAGAGAAGCCGTGGCGGAACTAACTGCGCAGCCATACCCATGACTCGGCAGACCGCCGATAATAACTTAAGCAATCAGTAACGCACTGAGGAGATATAACGCGAACCGATACAGTGAACTTATTTGACCGAACAAATGGCAGGTGCAGCAAAAGTGATTACAATTTCGGCGATATCCGAAGTACAGTTTGAACTGTCAGTGACAGGTTGTGGGATAAGCGGACAAACTCAAGGGCTACGAAGTCGATGGAAAATGGAACTACGGCGAAGTGAAGAAGAGACGGTCCAATTTCAAGGCCTCGTGAACACTTCCTGGCGTTTCGGACCGCCATCTTTCCCTGAACGGCCGGCGGAGAGCTCAAGGTAAACTAGGAAGCAGAGTCCCAAACTTCCTCGAGCCATCCAGGCCTCAAGATTGCCGCGCTGCTCAGTTTGCTGCTGGATTTGAATGTGCCAGTCAGCGCGAAATTGGGATCGAGCCGCGACAGGAAACCCACTTCTCGTGCTGACAATTGAGAGGCTGTGTTGCATTGGATGGTAAGCATTGCTGACGTGGGTGTCTGCTGGCATGGGGCTGTGCAAACGTCAAGGTACCAATGTATTCATGATGTGGAGTGTCTGCATTCATTCCCTCGATCCCCTAGCAGTCAGTCACCATTCAGCGATTTGTGCTCATTCAGTGAACAAAGCCGCTTGCATAGAACAATGAATATTACGCAGGGTTGGGTTCGGTGGATAAACAAAGACTATATAACTTGAAGTGCATACATTGGATATAAAGTCCAACTCTCAAACAGTACAGGAACATGAATTTCAACCTCCAGCAACCTTTCCTTCCGTTGAAAATCTGCTATTTCTTTGTTGTTCAATAGGTAGCAGCTTCGCACAATCTTCCATTGAGCAATATCACCTAGGCCCTGACCCTGCTCTCTTGAATGATGCAAAGAACCCTCCGCGCTTCTCCCGTCTCTGTTGGTCGGCCTCTCCATCCTCCTCGAGCTGACGTGCACCACAAGGGGGAAAAAAAACTCCCCCCAGTCACGCAACATGGGTAGAAGATGAGTGATAACAAAACAGGACGACCATGGGAAGTGACCCAGATGTTCTCTAAAAAAATCAGGCAATCGGCATGGTTGGTGGAGGTCCAGCAGGCGGGAATCAACAGCTGCTTTGTGGGGGTGGCAAGTCAACCCAACCCAAACGAGATCTCACCTCCTGTGCAATTTCGGCAATGACTCGGATTATCTCTGAGAATTCAGGTCGGTCGGCAGGGTTGGTGGCCCAGCAGCGCTCAAAGAGATCTGCCAGCCGCGGGTGCGTGCCCTTGGGGATGGGCGGACGCAGGCCCTGGGAGGGGAGAATGGGGAACGGGGGAGGAGGGCAGAGGCAGAGAGGGAGTGAGTCAGGGAGGAGAGGAAACTCGGGGCGGTAAGCAAGGTTGGTGGCCCAGCAGCGCTCAAAGAGATCCGCCCGCCGCGGGTGCGTGCCCTTGGGGATGGGCGGACGCAGGCCCTGGGAGGGGGAAAGGGAGAGTGAAGTGAGCAAAAAAGAGAGAGGGGAGGAAGGGAGGTGAGGCAGGGAGTCTTGGGGTAACGGGGAGGCACGGAAGCAAGGCCTGACAGGTTTTGAGACAGAGACAGGGAATGGGGACGTACATACAGGCCCTGAGACAGGTGTGAAACCATGGTGGGACTAGGGAAGCAAGGGGGAAAGAAAGGTGAGAGTGACAGGAGGGAGGGATGGTGATGACAGTGGATGATGGAGGAGGACGGGGACTTACTCGTTGAACCACGCTGACTGCTGCCTGCAAGGGTGTGAGGTCTGGATAGGGCAGCTGAGAGGAGGAGGGGGGGGGGGGGGGGGGGGGGGGGGGGGGGGGGAGAGAGAGGAGGGGGATGGAGGGGGGTGGGGGTGTGTGCACGTGAGTAAGGAAAGAAAGAATGGGGGTGGGGTAGGGTGAAAAACGGAGGGGAGGGGGCCCGGGAGAAGGGAGGTTAAATAATTTGGAGGGCTAGCAGATGAAAACTACTTTGTTAAAGAAAAGTGTGAGGACAAGCTTCGATGGCAACAAGGGGATGTGAAACGATAGTTTTAGGCTGTTATACGATGAACACATGACGATTGCTATCCATACCTGCTCCTTCCCACATTCCACACCACCATCATGTTGCCCGATAACAGCCATAACAGCAATAACAGCCATCCTTACACCAACATCCCACACCACCATCGTGTTGCCCGATAACAGCCATAACAGCAATAACAGCCATCCTTACACCAACATCCCACACCACCATCGTGTTGCCCGATAACAGCCATAACAGCAATAACAGCCATCCTTACACCAACATCCCACACCACCATCGTGTTGCCCAATAACAGCCATAACAGCAATAACAGCCATCCTTACACCAACATCCCACACCACCATCGTGTTGCCCGATAACAGCCATAACAGCAATAACAGCCATCCTTACACCAACATCCCACACCACCATCGTGTTGCCCAATAACAGCCATAACAGCAATAACAGCCATCCTTACACCAACATCCCACACCACCATCGTGTTGCCCGATAACAGCCATAACAGCAATAACAGCCATCCTTACACCAACATCCCACACCACCATCGTATTGCCCGATAACAGCCATAACAGCAATAACAGCCATCCTTGCACCAACATCCCACACCACCATCGTGTTGCCCGATAACAGCCATAACAGCCATAACAGCCATAACAGCCATAACAGCCATAACAGCAATAACAGCCATAACAGCCATAACAGCAATAACAGCCATAACAGCCATAACAGCCATAACAGCCATAAGAGCCATAAGAGCCATAACAGCCATAACAGCCATAACAGCCATAACAGCCATAACAGCCATAGCAGCCATAACAGCCATAACAGCCATAACAGCCATAGCAGCCATAACAGCCATAGCAGCCATAACAGCCATAACAGCCATAATAGCCATAGCAGCCATAACAGCCAACCTTACACCAACATCCCACCTCACCAAGCCCTTCCCTTCGTCTCACTCTCACCGTGCCTGTCAGCATCTCCCACATGGTGATGCGTAAGTTTTCTTAGGCACCGCAAAACCCACACACGTATTTAAGTCGACTCAAAATACACCGTCAGCAGCTCACATTCCCATCCTCACTCTCCCCTTGCCCGTCAGCATCTCACCTTGCCCGTCAGCATCTCACCTTGCCCGTCAGCATCTCCCACATGGTGATGCCGAAGCTGAAGATGTCTGCCTTGTGGTCATATGCCCGATGCTCAATCACCTGGTGCGCAACCAGGGAGAAGGGGAGGAGAGCAGAGACTTGCATGTGTTTGCCTTGGGGTCATATGTCCGATGCTCGTGTTTACGTTCAGTGCCATGCAATAGTGTTTCAGTGCAGATATTTCAGATTCTGAGATGTTTCGGGTTTTACACCAGATGCCATCCAGGTGTTACCTCAGGTGCCATCCAGCGGTAGGTGCCAGTCTCTGCTGTCATGACGCCACTGTTGGCCTTCACTCGCGCCACTCCAAAGTCCGCCACCTTCACCACCTGGCAGACACAGGGCCATGAAAGAACAGGAATGCGTGAGGTACTGGAATTTTGTGCATGATTCCTTTCACGTCCATTGCACAGTGTGGTGCATCCCTTGTGCCACGTCCAAGCCCATGCGCAGCGCCAACTCATGCACGGAAGCAGAAGCACACACCACACACCACACTCTGCCCTCAGCCCTGTTGCTCTCATCATTCTCATGCATGAGCAAATTTGCAGGAAGTCCATTCCCACACGCACCCAACCGACTACCACACAAGCACACACAACACTGCACAGCACCGCACCGCACCGCACCGACACAACCCAACACAACCTTTCACTCACATCGTTCTCATCCATGAGAAGGTTTGCCGCCTTAAGGTCGCGGTGAATGATGTTGTTCTTGTGCAGAAAGTCCATTCCCTTGGCCACGTCCATGCCCACACGCAGCACCATGGGCAGCTTCATGCTGCCGCGGTGCTTGTGTAGATAGTCGTACACACTGCCGCCCACCATGAACTCTGGAGGGGGGGCATGGGAAAGGGGAAAAAATGGACCAAGGGAGAAGAGGGCAACGGGGAACACACAGAAACACGCTTAGCGGATTGTTGTATACGATGCCCCCGCCCACCATGCAAACCGTGTGGATGTGATAGGAAGGAGGGCGAGCAAATCTTGCTTCTGGACTGGATATCTCACATGGGTAGCTAGCGTCATACACGCCCACACCCACCCCGGGATTCTTCACCCGACCCCCCCCCCCCCCACACACACACCATATAGCTTGGGGAACAAATAGCTCACCTGTGACAATGGAGAGATTCGGGGGCTACGTGCTAGCAGTAGCGTTTTGAGACGTCTCAGAACACTACTTTTATCACGTGATCAAGTAGAACACTACTTCAATCACGTGATCAAGTAGAACACTACTTCTAGCACGTGATCAAGTAGAACACTACTTCTAGCACGTGATCAAGTAGAACACTACTTCTAGCACGTGATCAAGTAGAACACTACTTCTAGCACGTGATCAAGTAGAACACTACTTCTAGCACGTGATCAAGTAGAACGCTACTTCTAGCACGTGATCAAGTAGAACACTACTTCTAGCACGTGATCAAATAGCTCACCGGTGACAATGGAGAGATTCGGGGGCTTGGTGCACGCCCCAATAAATTGAACGACATTCTTATGCCGCACCTTCCTGCATTGGGGAGTGGGGAAGGGAGTTAAGGTTGCACGACAAAGCAAGAAGCAAGTGTAAAAGTGACCCTGCGAGACTGGTGATGTGCACAGCAGAGGCGAAACGTAGCTTGCACACAGTCCTCCTCTCCTCTCCTCACTCATCGCCTCATGCAATCCTCCTGTCCTGAACAGAGCCAACTCTTGTCCACGATGCTTTCATAAGGGTAGCCCAATAAACATCTCGTCCACATCTCCTGAGGAAGTTGCTGAGGAAGTTGCTGTGGACAAAGTCTGCTTCTCCCCACTCACCCTCCCCCACCCCACTCACCCTCCCCCACCCCACTCACCCTCCCCCACCCCACTCACCCTCCCCCACCCCACTCACCCTCCCCCACCCCACTCACCCTCCCCCACCCCACTCACCCTCCCCCACCCCACTCACCCTCCCCCACCCCACTCACCCTCCCCCACCCCACTCACCCTCCCCCACCCCACTCACCCTCCCCCACCCCACTCACCCTCCCCCACCCCACTCACCCTCCCCCACCCCACTCACCCTCCCCCACCCCACTCACCCTCCCCCACCCCACTCACCCTCCCCCACCCCACTCACCCTCCCCCACCCCACTCACCCTCCCCCACCCCACTCACCCTCCCCCACCCCACTCACCCTCCCCCACCCCACTCACCCTCCCCCACCCCACTCACCCTCCCCCACCCCACTCACCCTCCCCCACCCCACTCACCCTCCCCCACCCCACTCACCCTCCCCCACCCCACTCACCTTCCCCCACCCCACTCACCTTCCCCCACCCCACTCACCTTCCCCCACCCCACTCACCCTCCCCCACCCCACTCACCTTCCCCCACCCCACTCACCCTCCCCCACCCCACTCACCCTCCCCCACCCCATTCACCTTCCCTCTCCCCACGCACCGCATGATGAACACCTCCTGAGCGAACTCCTGCTGCAATGAGTCGTTCAGCCGCTCCGCCTTGAGAATCTTGATTGCCACGTCCTGCCCACAGTACGTGCCGCGGTAGCTGTGGGTGGGGAAGGGAAGACACGGAAAGGCAGACGCGAAAGGAAACTCAAGGACTGGTGGTACTGTGTGCCCATACACTCTTGAGAATTCTCAAAAGTCACTCCAATATAGCTGTGTGCCCATACACTCTTGAGAATTCTCAAAAGTCACTCCAATATAGCTGTGTGCCCATACACTCTTGAGAATTCTCAAAAGTCACTCCAATATAGCTGTGTGCCCATACACTCTTGAGAATTCTCAAAAGTCACTCCAATATAGCTGTGTGCCCATACACTCCACTCTCGTCTTGATCGCCACGTCCTGGTCCCACTACGTGCCTCAATAGCTGCGGCTGCGGGAAAGGGAATTAGTCAGGCGAAGGTAGAAAAGCACGTGAAGAGACCCAAACATAGGTACGCATCCCAAACATAGGTACGCATCCCAAACATAGGTACGCATCCCAAACATAGGTACGCATCCCAAACATAGATACGCATCCCAAACATAGGTACGCATCCGTATCTGAAGAGAACAAAAATCGCCACACTATTGAAGTCACTCACAGGTCTCCAAACGACCCTGAGGCGATCTTATGCTGCAGCTTCAGCTGGTCATTGTCAATCTCCCAGTCATCCCGCCCGTCCGATGGGATGCGCACGCGGGAATCCGCTCCAGACAAACTGGAGGCTGCCATGTGTCCTGCTGCCGCTGTTGTGGCTGCTGACGTGGACATGGGCACGCCTGCGGATTCTGACATGGCGGGATTTGATTGGCCGGATGCTTCTGGAAGGGTTGACTGCGCTCCATTTTCGCCCGCTTGCTGACGGAAGGGGGAGGAAAGGCAGGAAGGGGGAGGAAAGGCAGGAAGGGGGAGGAAAGGCAGGAAGGGGGAGGAAAGGCAGGAAGGGGGAGGAAAGGCAGGAAGGGGGAGGAAAGGCAGGAAAGAAAAATGGAACGGAAGGGAAGGAAGGGCGCGGCAATGGTGGGTTTAAAACGTGATAGTGATAGTGAGAGCTGTTGCACAAATGACGAGCAGCGTTGCTGCACAGTGTTACGGGACTTAGATATATCCCAAAACTCAGCTGCTGTGCGGTGTGACAAACCGTGCTCGTCTCAGGCCGCAAGTGCAGTGCATTGGAGTGCATATGTGGTGCAGAGCGGTGCTGTGCTGTGCTGCGGTGCGCTGCTCACATGTGCTGCTCGCTGCCTGCACGCATCTCCACCAGCTCCTGCCGCCTTTACAAGGTATTTCTTTTACAGAGACTCACAGGACAGGATCTAGACTCCTTACCTGTGCTGCTCGCATGAGTGCCGCCCGCATCTCCACCACATCCTGCCACCCAGCCCAGCACGCATGGGAGGAGGGAGAGGAGGGATAACGCGGAGGGAGGGCATAGAGGAAGGTGGGTGGGACGAAGGGGCAGAGGGCATGGAGATGGTGGAGAGAGCGTGGAGAAGATTGGATGGGATAACGAGAAGAAGCAAGTGACAGGAAAGGGTTGGAGAAGGTGTGGACTATAGTTCTGAAAGAGTGGAGAGGAGGCGGCAAGTGGAGGAGGTGGCATGTGGAGGAGGTGGCAAATGAGAGGTCACATGCATGAGCTGAGCACGCACATCAAACTCGCACCTCGGAAGGCCAGCCGTCAACAACAAAGACATCGAGGGAGAGCCCATCAGAGGTGGAGAAGACATGCGCCTCGCGAATGTTCAACCCCACATCCGCCAGCACTGCTGAGAGCTGTTATATTGAGTGACGGAGGGGGGGAGGGGGGGTGAAGGTGGGGGGAAGGGGGGAGAATGGGGGAGGGGAGAAGGGGGAAAGGAGGGAGGGTTGGAGAGGAGAGGGGCGCGTTTTGAGGCACCTCAAACCTGGTCGTTCAGCCCCACGACTGCCAGCACTGCGGACAGTTGCTTGGGGGAGGAGGGGGAGAGGGGGGGGGGTGATGGGAGAGAGGGGAGGGGGGGAAGGGGCGGGAAGGGAGAGAGGGGAGGGGGGAAAGGGGGGGGAAGGGAGAGAGGGGAGGGGGGAAAGGGGGGGGTTAAGGTGGGAGAGGTGGATGGGAAGAGGGCATAGCAGGGGCAGTTTCAAAGTCGGGAAGGCTTCGGTTGCGCGGGGTTTTTCCTGAGTCCTGACCAGTTTGATTGACGCTTGACTTGGTTCGGCTGACCTGACTCGCGTTTGACTGGGGTTGACTCACTTGACTGAGCAGCTTGGGGCGGTCCACAGTGGAGAAGGTGACTTCGTGCATGGGCACCTGCAGGAGAGAACTGGCGGCAGGGGGGAAAGCAAGAAGGGAAGGAGGATCAGAAGTGATGAAGATGGGGAACGCAAAAGAGGGAACAGGGGGGAGGAGAGGAAAGGTGGGGGGTGGGAGAGAGGGGGAGTGGGGGGGACAGAGGTGGGGTGGTATGATAGGAAGATAAGGCGATGAGGGAATGACATTGCAGGTTGAGGACAGGAATGAGGAGATGGGAGGGGAGCAGAAGCAGGGACGCATGGAGTATACGCTCACACATTCCCCCTTCCCTTCACACTCTTTCAATAAACCCCTTCACATACATCCATCCCTTCCCCCACACACACTCACCTGAAGGACCCCTTTCCGTCTGAATGTCCATCCGCGTTCGCAGCTGCACCCTCCGGTATCCCCCCTCCCCCTGCCCCGCCCGCGCACATGGCGCCTCCCGCCAGCACTGGGGAGTCCAGATTCGGGGAGGACCCGAACGCTGGTGGAGCTAGCATGCTGGGGGACAAACGGGAGGAGGAACGGGGGAGGGAGACGAAAGGGGGGGGGGGGGGTGGGGGGGGGGGGAGAGCGGGAGGGGGAAGCAAAGAGGGGGGTAAGACGGAGGGAGGTCAAGGGAGTCTTGAGAAGGAAGTGGGTTGAATGAAGCAAACGGGGAAGGAGTTGGGAAAGGGGAAGAAGGGAGCAGGAAGAACCGGTGGGGGAGGTCCGGGAAGCTTAATCTGTTGAGGAGGACAATGCGTAAGAGACCCTCACATCCCTACCCCCTTACCCCCCCTGCAGCACCATCGGCTACCTCAGAACCCTAACCTAAGAGCCTCACCGGCAAAACCCTGACCTTACAGCCCTTCACCTCAGAGCCCCTACCCGCACAGCCCTTAACCTCAGAGCCCCTACCCGCACAGCCCTTAACCTCAGAGCCCCTACCCTCACAGCCCTTACCCTCAGAGCCCCTACCCTCACAGCCCTTACCCTCAGAGCCCCTACCCGCACAGCCCTTACCCTCAGAGCCCCTACCCGCACAGCCCTTACCCCTGGCGTTTGAATTCAGCTGCTGCCTCGTCAGGCTCCATCGTGCCTCCCCCTGCAGCGCCATCGCCTCCTCAGAACCCTATCGTCACCGGAAAACCCCTACCCGCACAGCCCCTCACCACACAGACCCTCCCCGCACAGCCCTTACCCCTGGCGTTTGAATTCAGCTGCCGCCTCGTCAGTCTCCATGGTGGCCTGCCCCCCCCTGCAGCGCCATCAGCCCCCTCAGAACCATAATCTCAGAGTCTCACCGGCAAAACCCTACCCGCACAGCCCCTAACCTCACAGCCCTAGCCTGAAAGCCTCTACACTCACAGCCCCTAGCCTCACATCCCTACCCTTGGCGCTTGAATTCAGCTACCGCCTCGTCAGTCTCCATCGTGCCTCCCCCTGCAGCGCCATCAGCCCCCCCTGGCAGGGCGGATGTGACCTGCGCGTGGAAGGGACAGACAGGGAGAGAAATGTTTTGAATTGACTCAAAAAATGCAGCGCCATCGCCTCCCCCTGGCAGGGCCGACGTGACCTGCGTGTGGAAGAGAAAGACGGGGAGAAATGTTTTGAGTCGACTCACAACACGCAGCGCCATCAGCTCCCCCTGGCAGGGCCGATGTGACCTGCGCGTGGAAGAGACAGACAGGGAGAGAAATGAGTGACACTACGAGGTTGCGGCGGCAACCATCTAGCATGTAATTCTCTAGGCATCTAAAAAATGGAGAGATACAAGAGGGAGAGATGGCCAATGGTTGGGTGAGGTCAAGACAGCACTGCAAGAGGGCTCAGCCGAGCATAAAACGAGCGGTTTTGGGTAGGGGGAGGGGAGAGAGGGGGCAGGGGGGTGTGGGGAGGGGGGGGGGAGTGGGAAGCGGGGGGAGGGGGGTGCAATGCAGATAGCCGAGCCGATTTTGAGGTGCCTTGTCTGGCCCAACCAGTGACCTTGGCAAAAACGGAGGGGATCAGAGGGACGTTTCAAACGGAGCAGGTTCCAGCAAAGGAGAATTGGTGTGGAATAGTGCAAGAAACATGATGCATGGCATGGTACATGAAATTCGTGCGCGCCGACAGGTAGGATGATGGGAAAGGGTGGGAGGGAGGATTTGACCGACAGGCCAGTCACACAAGCAAATGAAAGTACAATTCCTTAACCTGCCGTAAACGTACACTTGCCGCTCAACAATTACAACTCGCCCGATTCCTGACTAATCCCAGACAGACAGTCTGCCTCAACCCCGATTCCGAACCTACCCGCACGGCTCGGACATGCACCACCGGCTGGCTAGGCATCTTCGCAGCTTCTTCGAGAAGCCGCTTGTGGGTGAGCACATCCTCTGCGCGCTCCGTGTTCACATCCAGGGCGTATCTGAATCGGACGGATACGATACAATCACATTATTGAATAATTTTGACAGTTACAATCAGTCACATTCAATAATATGATGTAAATGCATGCTGGAAATATGACAATGATTGTCACATTCCATGTTTTACTCGAGTTTTATGACAATCACTGAGGTGACAAGCACCAGAGCATGTTCACCAAGGGGTAAGCATTAGGAGTACGGATGGAACCAGCCAAAAATTACTCCCGGCCTTATAAATAAAATGACGGGATGATGGACATGTTTTATGCGCGAACGGGGTAGACCTTCAGGCATGACATAGAAGACGTTAGTTACAGACCAACAGAACACTCATGACGGAGATCAAGGAAGAAGTATTTCGCAATATGTTGAAGATCGTCGCTCATGATTCGGATAACATCCAATGTGTAGAACCATCAAAATGATGAGTAACAATGCGTACCAAGACGTCGACAAAGGTCGTGGCTTGAAACTGGTATTCTACAAATCTGACTGGCGAATGTCGGGTGCCTGACTCGTCCGTCGCACAAAGTGATTATGAAACGAGAGAAAAGAGGGAGTGAGAGAAAAAAAAACACACATGAAACCCTACCTCGTAGGCAAGCGGAGAAAGTGGGCCTGAAGGGCTTCCTCGAAGTTAGGCTGTTGAATACATGGATGATTGGCTTCCTGGAGTTTCCGAACCACCTCCTGACACACTTCCTTCTTCACGCGCTGTCTCTGCTTCTTCTCATTCTCCGCAGCGCTGCTCGTTGAGGGTTTCGCCGGCTTCCCTCGGCTCGCTGCTGCTGCATCCATTGGTACGCTATCGCTCCCTAGATAAACCGATCGACAACACCTTACTCGCTGACCGACTATTCAACTATGACAGCTTCGCCAAACGTCAAACTAAAGCCTCATTGAAGCTCGATCCACGTCAGTACTCGCAGAAGTACTCAGCTTTAGCGAGTAAGTGGTGCTGACAAGAGAGTCCTCTAGGTCGTACGTTCCTGGGTTGTTGCTGGTGTGGGTGGTTGGTTGGACATGGCTCATGGAGAATCCATTTTCTGTGAAGCTGGTAGGCAGCGGGATTCTCAAAAAGTTGGTTTCCAGTGTACAGTCCGGGTTTTAGCTAAGTTCCAGTACAGCACCATGAGTTCCGCAAGCGTAATCTGGAAAGCGTAATCTGGCAACTCTTTCCACGTGGCTGTCAGCTCAACCAGTTCCTACCAGCTCTGAAAAACGTTCGACACCCAGATACACCTCTTTACAGCGATGCTGCTCACATTTACAGGTCAGCAGCATTTGATTCCCCAAATATAGAGTATTTGTTGGCATGGAGAGAGTTGGATACGAGCTTCGATTGGAGCTCACCTTATAATAAATACGCCTTACCAGTTGATTGGAACATCTAATTTGAACTGCTATTACTCAAAATCCAACTAATGTTACAGGCAACAGCTTCATGCACTATTGCTAAAACAAAGAAAAGACAAGGGTCCATAAGAAGCACATGCAAGCCTACATAAATCCAGGAACAATTCTCAAGAACAGGAAGGCGTACATCACAGACAGCGCTGCTCCGATAGGAATGGTGACAAGCCACGATGCCACAATCTCCTTCACCACATCGGCCCGTACACTCCCAATACCGCGGGCAAGGCCCACTCCCATCACTGCTCCAACAAGTGTGTGCGTGGCAGAGATTGGGAGACCCAGTCTAGATGCAACCACCACCACTGTAGCCGCTGAGAACTCTGCTGCGAATCCTCTGGTGGGAGTGAGCTCTGTGATCCTGTTCCCAATTGTTGCAATGACACGGTAACCCCAGATGATAAGACCAGCCACAATGCCAAAACCGCCCCAAATAAGAACCTGAGTGGCAACGCCGGCAGACACTGGAGCGGCAGCGAGGGATGAGGAGGGGATGGATGCGGAGGAGGAGGCGAGGATGGCTAGAGCAGCTGAGATGGGGCCAATGGCGTTGGCCACATCGTTTGCACCGTGAGCAAATGACATGAAGCATGCAGAGAGCACCTGCATGGAACAACACAGAGCAGGAGCCAGGTCAGCTTAAAACTAACCGGGCTTCAACGGGTAGCATGAAGTGCCAGGTTTGGGCAACTGAATGTGCGAGAATCACACATGCCACATGACAGTAATCAATCTCCTGCAACACAGCCATGCACCTCCCATGGCCCATCCTTCCCCCCAGCTAGCATCCAAAGGCGCCATACACAACGTCCGGCTGCATGCCCATGGACCCACAACCCTTTATTCAACTCCAGACACTCTCCTCTCCTCTCATGTGAGCCGACCATTGACCCTTGTATCCCTCCCACTTGACTACAGCCTCGCCCACGCACCTGCAGGTAACCAAACACGCCATAAACAATGCGCAGCTGCGTGCCCATGGGTCCGCGGCCCTTCTCCGGCTTCGGCTCCTCCAACTGCTTGGGGATCTCACAGAACTCCCCCAGCAGCTCGCCCATCTGCCGCTTCACCACGGCGGACATGGCCACCGCGGAAGCAGCGCCCGCGGCCAGGGAGAGCGCGCAGGCGCGGAGGAGGACCCCCGGGGAGGTGAAGAGCGAGAAGAAGGAGAAGGCGGAGACACCCGCGAAGACGAGGATCGGCGCCGCTGTCGACGCTGCCTGCCCCGGATTGGACGAGCTGTAGACGAACTGAGTGTGGTGCCGGCGCGGTGGGGGTGAAGCGGAAGGGGAGAGGTGGCAGAGTGGGAACGTGGGGGGGAAAGAGAAGAGGAGAAAGGGAGTGGAAGAGTTTGGAAAAAAAAGGAGTGGCTAAGTCAGAAGTCAAGGGGACGAGGACGAGGTACCTGTTCGGTAACAACATGCTACAATTATTTAGAGCTACTGTCCAGCCACGAGACAAGGTTTCACCAACGCCCACTCGTCTCTGCCGTCTTGAATCATTGCTCTCCGCTCCCCCGTGGACATCATACTCTCCACCTTGCGCCAATAACTCGCACCACCGGCCACTGCTACGTTCACAGCTATTCTTTCCCGCCCCTCGTCCCAGTGTATCGGAAATTGAAATCATCCAGCCTCCAGTTAACTTCCAACCATCTTACATTGTTAAATGTTGCACGGTGATGTTGGCATCGCTTAAACAGCCAGATCTTTCCTGATACTTTGTTGACGATGAACGTGACGATGCTATTGTTTGAGGCATCAGAGCGTTTTAACCAGATTGCCTAAGGACGTGCATACCTTTCGGATACACTTGTAAACGATGAAGGCGATGCTAGCACCGAGAACAGGCGAGACGACCCACGACGACACCACGCGAGCCAGCGACGACCAGTAGACGGCATTCCAGCCGCCGAAGATGATGCCGAACCCAACCATTGCCCCGATGATGCAGTGCGTCGTTGATACCGGCCAGCCGAAGTACGAAGCAACCTGTGCATCGTGGAGGAATACAAGGGCCAGTCAGCTTAGATTTCTTCGGATCCATGACGTCGGCACCATTCCTTTCACATTCTTCCTCCTCTGGTAAATAGACTCAGCATTGTTCACCCTAACCATCACCTGCTCCTAGATGATCAGTGTCTCCTTAACACCCCAGCGTCAATGGCACTTAGTATTGCACGTACCTGAAGCCACGTTCCTGCGGCTGCCAGAGAGGAGATCATCCCTGTGAACAGCATCGCGTTTTTCCCGGCAAACACATTTGCCTTTATGATTCCGTTCTGCATCGTGTGGCTCACGTGCGATCCAACCAGGAAAGCCCCGCCGAACTCCAAGATCGCCGCTGCTAGCACCGCTTGGCGTAGCGTCAGCGCTCCCGAACCCACTGACGTCCCCCATTGCGTTTGCCACGTCATTCGCACCAATGTTCCACGCCATGTAGAACCCCAGGAGCAGCGTCAGGTAGGTGAGGCCTTTCATGTGAGGCGAAGCTGCGGGATTCCACGCGCTCATGAAGAAAGGAGCTACTACAGCGATAATGCTGATTATACCCGTGATCCCCATGGCCGTCTGAGGCGTTATTTCAAACGCTTCCGCCATGCTACCTGTCGATGAAACGGGATTGCTCGTAACGGCCGCTCCACTTTCTTGCAGCTGCTGTCTTCTAGCTTCCAGCCGTGCTTCATACTGCTCAATGGACTCGTCTTCTGATTCGAGAGCATCGTCAAATGGAGTAGCACCAGACAACGAACTGAGAGCCCTTAAAGAGCTGCGCCTGGTTGATCTGTGGAGAGGTTGGAATAAATGCGGATGAGATGACAATGACGAGGGGATCTGAGGTCTAAGAGCGGTCCTTAGGGGTATTTGAACCGGATGTTGACATCTCGACAAATGAGGGAGGTTGTGAGCATTTCGCTGACATGACTCATTTCTTTCACGAAGAGCTGCTCCAGATGCTTTTACTGCAGAGCCAGAAAATTGTGGAGCTACCGTCCTTAGCATTGTCAACCATGCACGACTGATCAACTCCCTAGGAAAAAACCCTGACCCCAGCCAGTACTTCAGCTGCTCAACCAAAGCCTCTGCAGGCTTTTCGAGTTAAAAAGCGCTATCGCGGGATGGCTTGCGGTCCTGATCTCCTAACTAGTTTTCGAAATCACAAGACGGAATAATGTAGGTTACACTGCCTCGATCGTTAGGATCATGGCGGACCAGCCAGCCCAGAAGCTATTTAGAAATGCTGGCTTTAGAAGAGTTAGCACTGAGCATATTTGACTCAAGGCATGTGGCCGTGGAATGGAGTGGGGGAAACGGGGAAAGATGGGGGAGAAAAGGGGAAGGCTGTCAGCAGACGCGGAAGTTTAGGGGGAAAGTGACGATGGCGCGGAACTTCCCGCTGGCGCCCGTAGATCCAGGAATCTTGTGGACCGATTCGCCTTGACGGCAGGAAAGTTTGTGACTGGTGGAGAGACGATCGAGGGTGGGAGCCGAGGGGGATAAAACCTGAGGTATAAATCGGCGCCACGTGGACGGTGAGTCACGCTTACGGAGGGCGGAGATTTAGCAGATTGGAAGTTGTAAATCAGCAATTTTTAAAGTGTGAGGTGCGGAGGTCGCGTACAGAACATCCACCACACTCCTAACGTCACCGATACTATGTTCTCCAAGACAAGGGAGACAATACGTCATAGAAACCAAACCATGAACACAAACATGATGTGAAGATGTTTACTCGCGCACCACATGAACTATATTAGTATTCAGCTGTAGTATAATCTTATAATTCTAACTAGAGTGGACTGCCAAGTCCTCCTTATTGGCTTCCAGCTGCAGGTCATACCGTTGCCCTCTTACAACGGCGTACATCATGTCAGGAGCAATATAATCACAAGTCCGCTCAATGCGGAATGGCTCTCCAGGAATCTGCAACAAACCAGAAAAGGGTTCAGAAACAAGAGCGATACACTTCACTCAAGAGTCAAGACCACAATACTTCGGCCTCACCTGGTTGCCCGAGTGAATCTGCACGCCTGTGATCACAGCGTAGTCAGCAGTGGCTGGGTCGACAGTGAGGGAGATGAGTTTTTCCAGGTCATCATTGATGGCTGCCAGTGCAGCACGAGTCACCTCCACCAATGAATACTCCGAACCTCCCCGCCGTAGAATCTGGGGAGAAGAATGGCATCCCAAAAAAAAAAAATCCTGATCATTGTGCAGATTTTAATGGAAGTGGAACAATCATGAGTGAGGGCTATAGACATGGAATGCAAACATGAAGCAACCTTGCGTTCTCAGGTTGTCTTCTGTTACCTACCAGTGACTTGACTTTCTTCTTAAGAAGCACGTACTCCTCGTCATAAGGGTCCGACACCGTTGCCTTGCCCGCGTTGATGTCGTTCTGAATGGCAATCAGTGCTCCACATGCACTGGAGGGCTTGCCTCGGCCGCGCCGCAGCAGCGATCCCACCTCTCCCGATTCTCCGATGGACACGTGAGGGAAGGCAAAGAAGATGTCTGAGGGAGAGGGAGGTGATTGGTGGGAGAAATGAGAGGCAGATAAGCACAGGGAAACGAACTGCTGATGCTTGCAAGGACAAGCATATGCAGCAGACAATGGTGCAAACGCCTATGACTGACCCTCATCGTCACCAACCATCATGCACAGCTGTTCACTACTCACGACCAACCATCATGCATGGCCGTTCACCATCCACGACAGCACTCACACATGAATCCCCCAGCCATGCCGGCACGCCCCACAATGAATGACCCCTTTATGCATGAAGGACCCATCACAAACGCCCCATCATGCTCACATCGCTCCTTCACAGTCCCATCGGTCTCGCAGCGAAACTCTGGCGAGTGCGACATTGCAGCCTTAAAGCCTGTGGAGCCGCAGTTGAGCACGCCGCCCAGCCCTGCGATATTGAACGACAGCCCAAATTCCTGGTCCACCAGGCTCACCACCGGCCGGCACACCTCGTCCCGGCATGTCGACACCAGCGCAATGCAGTTGTCTCTGGCGGAGTGAGTGGAAGAGAATGGCGAGGGAAGAGACGTGATTGGGGGTTCGAGGGGAAGGGCGGGAGCGGAAAGGGGGTGGGAAGGAAGGACGTTTGCTCTGGAAAGTAGGCCCAAATTGCAACATCCACTGTCAGACAAACTATTGTACTGGTACGGTCGGTCAGCAGCTAAGCCATGTCAGTGACGCCCTCCTTTTTGATAGTATTGGGCTATGATAGAGCTCTTCACAGTCCAGCTTGTAGAAGTCCTTTCTTCTGGTAACAATTTCCCCTCTAATCTAATTTAACCACTGCCGTTCGGTTATTTCCTTTCTTTTCAAGCTTTCATTTGCCCTCCCTCCTCAGCACCGAGCCGTTCCTCCCTTTTACCCACCCCTGGATCCATTCCATGCTGATGTTTGTGCAAACCCGATTTAGTACTAAGCCCACCGGCCTCCAATCACCCCTCGGTCTACCACGTGCCCCACGTTGCAGTGCACCGCTCGAAGCTCGAGCTCACCTTTTGAAGCCCAGCTTGCTGAGCTCTTGGCTCACGGCCTTCATGAAAGCCTCCTCCTGCATGGCCCGCGGGAAAGTCGCCGCCATCGCCGCTAGCGCAGTTGTTGCGGCCTGGAGGGCGAACGGGGCATTATGACGAAGCGCAATGACGCAATTGAAGGGGGAAAGGAGGCAGATTTGCAACGGAACAGTAATGGGATGGTGACTCAATTCCGTGAATTGGAAGCGAGCTTAATACTTCGACGTATTGAGCCACAGCGTGAGAAGGTATTGGAAGAGGTTATGTAGAAACAACTGTAAATGGGAAGTAAGGCTGCTTTCCATGCACATACTTTCTTGGCACGTGGCACGATGCCGCTGGGAGGAGCTGCTTTAGCTTCTGCGCCCGCTTCCGCTTTAGCAGGACCGGATGTGATCTTTCTGACAATTAAATAAGACGCAACACCGAGCGCTCCGGCGCCTAGGACGGATGGAGCGTAAGGCTGAGCAGCGGCTATAGCGGAGGACACGTCTGGAGTGGAGGTGGACTGTGTGAATGTAACGATATTGGTTTTAAGGCGGTTCAAAGCGGCAGTAGCGGAAGACAGGTCTGGAGTAGAGGAGGACTGTGTGACTGTGGCGAGTGGAGCAGATGAAGGATCAGAGGAATCACTGCTCTTTGCTGCACGTGCGACTGAGTACCGTGAACGGCGGCGGGCGATGCGGTTTGATCGGGATGGTAGTGCTGTCGTAGACTCACGTCTGAGGCCATTGAAGGCTGGAGCGATGAGGGAGGGAAACAAATAACAAAATCAGCATAGTTGTGCAGCTTTCTGGCACTAAGCATAGTGGCCGTGCCTAGAGCGCTGCATGTGCCATCAGCATGATGGATTAGGAAGAAATTACAATCCGTAATGCAATCGAGGAGTCGTCGAAGGTTACGTACAAACAGCTACGGAAGCAGATCGCCTTTCAGTCTCGCGCAACTGGGCCCTCTCAAGAACGGCAGTGGAGGAGAATCGTGAAGCAACGGCAGCCATTTTCGCCGTCGGCAAGCTCGAGGCAAGCTTGATGGAAACTAGTCACCAACTTCAAGGTTGCTAAATTTCACAGAACTATCTCAGCACATATAAATACTGTACTCCAGCTGAATATTAGGGGCTCACAACAACTGGTTTCCGCAGCATTATTTGGGCGAAGCTCATGTCGTCCCCCCACTAAAGTCCTTGTCAGGTTTCCCAGATTGGTCAATGCTTGCTCTTGAAGTCAGAGTAGTGCTGGATGGATGGCGTTCAACTCCCAGTGCTCTGCGTTTACTGGTGGAACGCCTGCAGAACCAGGAGAGTATCTTCCACACAATCATGAATTGCCACGCGGATGTACCCTCTATAGTGCTTGTAGACTCCCACTGTTATAACTGAGTTTATATTTCCATACTCAAAGTTGAATTTTGTTACTGCAACGTGCCAGAGAAGTCCACAAACGAGAACAACCCCTCGTCTGAATTTATCCTTGATTCAGAAGAAATTGTCAGCGTGAGATAGGCAGTTCCAGCCACGTCATGTCAGCTGCGAGTATGTCGCTGGCCCTCCCATCCGCAAGGGCGAAATCCACGTGGATTCGCCACTTAGTCAGGTGCATTTTATTGGAGGAACCAGCGCTTCGCTATTCGCATCATTTTCATCGTGGGGGATCTTCTCGAAGTTTGTACACCACGAATTAGTCCAAAGCCCAAGCTGTTGTTCAAAAGCCCGTCTTGATCGGGAAATACCAACTTCGAGGCTCCATCTTCACCACAACCAATCGCTCCCGTCCAATCGCCAGCTTTCGAACCGACCCGAGTTCATCAAGCCGTGAAAACGAACTCCAACACGCGTCTACCCCTTTGACCAACGGTCGTTTCAGTGCATTCTAGAAATATTGGATACGTTATGGAGCGGTAATCTGAACTCATAGTTCTGGAACTCAATAAACCGAACGAAACCGTACTACAGTACGTGAATTGAAGACCAGTGTCGAGTAGCTACCTGAATGGGAAAAGCAGGCTGCATTACACACAAGCGACTAGGTTAGGCGACTGACTACTCACTACTTAGCCTGCTATCAGGACAGAACTAAGTTGACCAGATCATTTGTACGTGAGCTCTGTCCACTCAATTAGCTGCTAGTTTCCTTCCGCAGCAGTCTTGCACCACATCGACCTTTTTTCTTTCGACCAGCATTTCGTCGAAAATGGCTGCCATGGCTGCTGGAGTTGCTGCTAAACTTCCAAGTGCACTGAAGACCGAGAACGTTCTGGAAGCCAGCCAGTTCCTTGGTCAACCTGCCAGCACCCTCGCGTTCCCCGTCTCCGCATCCTCCGCCTCCCGTAACTCTCTGTCCACTCGGTGCGCTGCTAAGGCTGAGGGCTCAGATGGAAACAACGCGACATCCCACACCCACACGAAGCGCGCCGTGTCCAGGCGATTGATTCTCGGCGGAATGGCCGCCGGCATGGCCGCCGTGGTCGGCTGCCCCAATCTGCGACTCGGGATCGCCATCCATGGGTGCCGCGCTCGCTGCTGATTGGAGCTACGGAGAGTTGTCAGGACCCAACGAGTGGGGTGCGGTGTGCAAGACTGGCGCTGCGCAGTCGCCCGATTGACATCTCTTTCACGGCGCCTAAGATCGTGTCGGATAATAGCATTGGCAAGCTCGCCTTCGGGTACAAGCGCGCCGATGCCACGTTCCTCAACACTGGCCACGGCACCATGCAGGTGAGACAGCTGGGAAATACATGATATTGATCGCGCAGAGTCTGCATAGGAGAGATGAGCGCTGAGATGGCGCGCTACGGCATTCAGCTTGGGTTGCAGTGTTGAATATCGGCCTCGTGGCTACTATTTTACACTTCCCCTTCCAATTTCGTTTCGCTTGTCCTCCGCCTCCGTAACATCATAACATCGCCTCCCTTCACTCAACTTTCCCATTTCTAAGCTGAAATAATTTTCGCGAATTTTTTTTAGCGTTTATTTAACGCTTGTTCTCTTACCTTCGCGTCGCAGGTGAATTTCCCGGGCGGCAGCAACACGTGCGAGATCGGCGGGCGCAAGCTGGAGCTGCTGCAGTACCACTTCCACGCGCCCAGCGAGCACTCGTTCAACGGCATCCGTACCGCCATGGAGGTTCATCTCGTCCACCGTACGTACGCCCGCCGTATCATGTCATCTCATGTCATGTCATGTCCACCGTACGTTATTGAACAACATGCCGCTCCTCTACAATGTAACGCTGCTGCACCATCAGAGGGGTTCAGCCATGCTTGCTGCGAGCGACTCTCGAAACTGGCTCGTGCTGCTTCTCACTCACTCGTCTTCCTTCTTCCCTTGTTTCGCTTCCCTCGCTGTTTCCCATCTGCCCATCTCTTCCAGGCGATGCTGAGGGCAAGCTCGCAGTCGTAGGGTAAGCACCTTACGCCCTAATTCTAGCGTAGCAACAATGATTCTTCTCCGCATACTCTAGCTCGAAATCAAACCCTCTCCATCTGTCTACATTTCCTCTGCTTGCACACATTCCAAATGGCAGTAGTGCTTCTCTCCTCTCCGCTTCCGCCCTCAGTGCCATCATTACCCTCCCTCCTCAATTTTTCCCCTTCTTCCCCTCTCTCCCCACCCCCCTCTCCCTCCCCGCGCAATCCCCCCTCCGCAATTCCGCCCTCCGCGCAGGGTCATGCTGGAGGCGGACCCCAAGGCTCCGCGGAACCTCTGCCTCGAGGCGGCTCTCGCCTTCTCGCCCAACGAGAAGTTTAAGCAGATGTGAGTGCGGCACTGCGAGCTGTTTGGATTCAGCTACACTGCGGCTTTGAGTGAGAGTGAAAATTGGAGTGAGTTGGCGAGGACGCGAATGAGTTTACAGCGGAAAGGGAAATCACCCACCTCACTCGACGCTTACCCTCGAATTCACGAACTGCACTCTATTCGCACGCGTCCTCTTTCACCCCGCGGATGCGCCTGCAGTGCAGAGAGAGGTGCCAGGCCCTAGAAACGGGCAGTGCCCGTCAAAAGCCCACCTCTTACCTTTCCATCTTCCCATGTTCCTCCCCCTCTTCCCTCCCTCGCCAGTGCGGGTCCAGTGGAGTGTTTCGAGGTGCCAGCAGTGGGTGGGGGCAAGCCCTTGAAGCAATGCCTCAAGATCCAGATCAGCCCCGAGCCTCTCCTCCCCAAGCCTGACAGAGCGGTGCGTTTCTAAGCCTCTGCCGAGCCTGATATTACAGTCCTGTCTGCTGCAACTACCAGCTCCTCTCTCTGAGTTCACGCTTTGCCTATGGCGAGTCTCGTTACTATGATAATCTCAAACTGGCTGGCATGCTTTATGGCTCCGTGCCTTCTGCCATTTCGTCATTTGCAGCTTGACTTCACCAGCTACGTCTTACCTTTCACCTCCCTCGCCGTGCCACCGTCGTCATAATCACCCATCATCACCCATCATCACCCATCATCACCCATCATCACCCATCATCACCCATCATCACCCATCATCACCCATCATCACCCATCGCCACCCATCGCCACCCATCATCACCCATCATCACCCATCGCCACCCATCATCACCTTGCTTGAATCATGGCGTGCAGGACGGTGCGCACAACTACATTCACTACAAGGGCTCCCTCACCACCCCCCCGTGCTCCGAGGGCGTTGACTGGTTTGTCCTCTGTAAGTCACTTGACTGCCATTGACTGCTATTGACTGGCGTTGACTGGCATTGACTGGCGTTGCTCTAGGCATATGCTCTCAATAATTTCAGTTAACGCCTGCCTTCATCCTCTTATCCCCTCCCTGTGTCCTCCTCGTCTCTCGTCCTTGTGCCCTCTTCTCTTGTCCTCCTGTTCCCCATTCTCTACCCCTCTCCACCATCCCCACTCCACCATTCCCTCACAATCCCCTCTCAAACAAAACCCAGGTGTGCAAATGCTTGAGTGATCCTTCCAGTTTCCCCACACATCCTCTCCGTCCTCCCTTCTTTCCCTGTCCCAAACATCCCCCACGTGCATCCCTGATGCTAGCTAGTCTGCTCAATACTTTGGTTTAGTCCTCTCTCTCCTCTCCACTATCCTGACACTGTTCCGTCGACTCAGTAGTCTCTCTATCGTCTCTTCCCCGCCCTTTCCTCTGCAGCATCCCCCATGCGCATCCCTGATTCCCAAGTGGTTGAGTTCATGCGCTATGTCGGTGACCGCCAGACTCTTGCCCTTAACTCGGTGAGTGTTGTGAGACCTTCAAGACTTACTAAAGGCTGTTAGCACAGAGAGGCATCGGGCTTATTATAACCACCTGCTGCTGCTGTTGCTACAGCTCCTACTGCTGTCCCTCTCTCCCATCTCCCCGTTCCTTTCCCCCCTCTTTCACTTGCTGCTGCTGCTCACACACAACGGCTGTATCTCCCCTCGCTCCTCCCCACATGCACCGATCGCAGAGTTTTGAGTCGACTCAAAAGTCACATTGAGTCTTCTCAAAAGTAGGATCTTTCACTTGCTGCTGCTGCTGCTCACTCATAACGGCTGTATCTCCCCTCCTCCCCACATGCACCAATTGCAGAGGCCTCGTCAAGACCTTGGGGACCGTTTCCTGGTCGTTGGCCCCGCCTAAACTCCTAGAAGTTATGTGTTGAATTGGTTGCTCTGTCAAATACAGTAGAGATATCTGCACAAAATGTATTCCTATAAATTATGGTAACTTTATCACTCTCGTTTCAGTAACACTGGATGCCTAGACTGGCTATGTGAGAGGGGATTGTTGCCCTGTCTGGCAAGTCTGCCATGCTAGCAGGGAGATGAAAATTCAAAAAGCACTGATTTCATAACACAGAGCCGAAGGTGAAAACACTTCCACACCATGTTCTCCTAAATGTAACTAGTCTGTGGTGTGGAGATAGACATTCAGGGGGACAGCAAGGTTGGGGAAGCTGGGGTGGTGTTTTTAAGGGGAAAGGAACAATGGCGGGTTGCTGTAGTTTAGGTAAGGTGACCACAGTGGAGGGAGAAGCAGAGGAGAGATGCACTAGAGGTTGAAGAGTTTATACATTAGAAACATGCACCATAACAGCAAGTGATTGATTCTGAAGGTGGTATGGAGAGATGAGCCTAGCTGTTCAGGTCAACAGGTACGACCATTATTTAACCACTCTCAGGACTGCTGAACGTTTCCTCAATACCCCTTCCCAAACCCACCACCACCCCCCCCCCAACCCACCCCCCCGCCCTCCCTCGCTCCCCCTCCCCCCTACCTTTTTCCATGCATCTCCAAAAGCCAAGAGAACACAGAAGCAAACGCCAAGGAATCCCCTAATGAGCATGAATGACGCTCTCAGACAGAACCTCAGTTAAGTGTGAGTGTCAAAAGAATATCAGGTTCTGGAGTGCATCAACGTGCTTCAGAGGAGCCGCCACCGCAGTCACCAGTAGTGATCAATGCGTTGCGTCGCGCCCATGGAGCTTGCTACAGAAGCACGGTGCGTCCTTGGATCTAGCAACAGAAGCACAGAGTCTCCTAATAGCTAGCTCCATGTGCACGCTTGGAAAAAAAAAAACTGTTTGAACCCCGCGAGAACCTCCTCGCGCACCTGCAGAGTTTCCAACTGCTCGGATCGGTTCCAACTTCCAACCGTTCACAGCGCGTTGCCAGGGAGCTTGCTCGACGCCACGATCTCGCTCATTTCCGTGAGCGCGTCCGGATTTGTCGCCGCCATGCTCGCCGCTTTTTGCTGCCACGGCGCGCGGTTGTTCTTCGTCTCGCTCGTGATCGTCGAAACGAGCCGGCGGGACGCCTTGGCGCTGATAATCGAGTTCCCTATCAGCTTAATCTGCGCAGCGCGGTTCTTCGAGAGCAGTTCCAGCTCGTTGCTGCGCGCCGCGCTCGTGTACGACTTGGCCGTTTCGTACAGGCGCTTCGAGTTGTCGTAATCTGTTTTGGCGGAATCGAACGCCTGTTGCGCCGTCGCCAGCGCCGTATTCGCCGCTGTAAGGTCCGAATCTGCGGTGTCCTTCTCCGTCTTGGTTGATGCTTCGTCTGTAGTGGCCGCTGTAACTTCGGCATCCGCGGCAGTCACGACGGCCTGGCAGGAAGTCTGCAGAGCAGTGAGAATTCCGGCGTGATCCTCCCATGCAGATTTGATTGACTGCGCGATTGCGACCTCCACATACTTCGCGGCGGCCGCGGCGCGTAGCGCGGACGTCGGGCTCGCGTCGGCGGCTGTGGCGGCGGCCGTCGCGGCGGTGCTCGCGTCGGTGAGGTCGGTCGTAGCGGCGGTCAATCCGGTTGTGGCGGCGGTCGCCGCGGCGTCGACCAGCACGGAAAGGGCTGTCGCAGACGTTTGGTACTTGGTTGCAAGAGCGAGCCGCGCTACAGCCGCGTTGTGTTTCTTCGTAGCGAGAGCCGCCCAGTCTTCCGCCTTCGTCTGCGCGTAGTCGAGAGGGGGGAACGCGCCCGCCGCTGTCGCCAGCGCGTCAAGCTTGGTTTCGTAGTCTCCCTTCGCGGTTGCTTCGTCCGTCTCCGTTTGTGTCGCTGCGGCCACCGCAGCAGTCGCTTTCGTTGAAAATTGGTCAGCTTGTTTCTGCGCGTACGCGACGTCGTTCTGAGCAGTTCTTGAATCTTTCGTGGCCTGGTCGAGATAGGAGAGCTTCTGGTTGCTCCCGCGATTTCTCTTCGCCTCCGTGACCGTGACGGCGAACGCGGAGAGCACGAGGAGCAGAAGCGCAGTCGCGAGAACGCACCGTCTGGCGTCCATGGTGTCTGAGCGTTAGTGGATTTGGCTGAGAGATGAATTAGGAGGAAGGACAAGCGTTAGAGAGAATATCTGGTATTTTTCGAGAATTCAGGAAGCTAATGTGCCTGTGTAGAGTTCGTAATGCGGATTTATTGATTGAGGTGGGTGCTTCAAGATGTTGGAACGGGCTGGGTTGGTGAGGTGAGTAGTGTGGAAAGTCAGCGATCTGGAATGAGGGGCAATAGGTGTGGAGCAATGAGGGCCAATTTTTTTGCTCTCGAACCGCGTGGAGAGCCCAACTCGATGTGCAAACGGATTGGGTTGGTTGGGGTAGAGGAGAGGGAAGTGAAGAGGCAGACAGGCCGTAGTCTGAAGTTCGCCCACCATCCGAAGTCTTCCCACGCGGCTCGAAATGCTGGTTTTGCAATTTATTCACATTTCAATGTTTGCCCACGCGTCTCTATCTCAGGCTAACCGGCCACGGTCGCAGCTCTCTGCCTGCACGTCAATGTGCGACTTCATCGATTGGTGGTTTGGGGGGTTGTGCTTTCGGAGAGTCTGGTTACGTGCTACTTGCTGTTTGAAAGTCTTGACTTGCGCGACCTTGAGGCATGGCCGTTTGGTTATTGCCTGACGATATTTATCGCACCTTCGTGCGATTTTATGAGAAGATTTTATTGGTGGCGAAAACGATTCGGTTGGACACCTGTCATGCGATCCGGGCGACCTCTGTCGCCCGCCAAAAGCAGGTCTGGTGGCCAAAGTGGGGCCCTGCCCCACCCGGACACCATCAGCCCCGGAAAAGTTCTGATGGTGGGCAGACTTCATGGTGGGCAAACTTGAGAATGCGGTCTCAGTGCCATCCACGCCGTCCATTGAATTGGATGAATGCCGAAATCGAAGCGCGCAGTTGGTTGCACTTCTCAACTGCTGTGTGTTCCCATCTCGGCACACCCCCGTCCCCAGTGTGCCGGGTTTCGAAGCTTCCGCCGCTCAGAAACAGTTCGAACCGATTCGCACCACAGATTTGTGGGCGTGCCGGTGCGTGCCGTGGCGTGGCAGTGCATGCACAGAAGCCGTGGTTATTCGTGGTACAAATTGTATTTTGAACGGTGAGAGCCTCGAAACTCGATACAGCGGGGCGTGCCAAAGCGTTCCGCACCATGTCCCAAATCGACGAATTACAGAACAGCTCCTTCGTGAATGTGCACTTTCAACAATCTTTCGTACGAAATTGGGTACGGAAAACTCTGGAGAAAGTGAGGCGTTGACAAATCATCGATATGCTTTTCTGGTTGAGAGTCCAAAGATTGGACTGTCCGAGACCCACAGCCGCACCGCCATACGTCACCCCGTGGAAGGCTACCCTCCTAGCCAACCTGCTTTCAGTTGCTGGCCCGTGTCAAGTGCGGGCAGGGTATGTTCTGAGATGCAATAGGCTTGACGAGTGGTGCCTGCTTCCGTACTTGCTGACGACAATGTTTTGCGGTTCATGCCCATTCAAGTTGGGGTCACGAAAAATATTTCTGCCAACAACTACTAGCTGCTCAACAGCGGTGTGGATATCACTCCCAGCAGACACAACCCGACTGTGAAGCACAACCCGCGAGCGAAGCAAGACGACAGCGGATTTTGTGTTACAAGATGACCTTTCCTCCGCAAATATTGGAAAATTTCAATGACATGTTTGTTACAAAGCATACACAGATTCAGTTCATGCCAAAATGTAAGGAATTTTCTCGGCATTCCTTACGGAGCCCGACTACATCGCGTACAGCAACAGCCGTTGTTCGCCCGTTACTGCTAACGGGACTTCGCCAACTTCGCGCGCATTGTTTTGTCAAACCTCGCATTGCTGGCCCGGCCGTGTCGGCCTACGCTTCGTGGCCAGCTCGAGCCTCGCTGCCACCGTAGCACTAGCTAGCTCGCACGCACCACGTTACCGTTTGCATGTTTCGCGTATAAATGTTTGCTCATGCATTCGCTCACATCTTGGTACTCGTTTGACACCTTAGTGCAATTCTCACTAGTTCGATTCATTGCAACCCGTAAACACTTGGTATTCAGAGCCCCTTTCTTTCAGACCGCGCACTCCAGCACCCCCAGGAAATCAACTTTTGATTTTTCACTCAAAGGGACTCACGCACCTTAGCACCTAGGAGCCGTTGTCCTCGCGTTCTCTCATAAACGCGTGCACCCACGTTTGCGCCTAGACTAAGACGAGCCGACACCCTTCGAAATGGCCGAGCACATTGATATCACGACGCTCACGCAGGAGCACTTGAACGATCTCTTGCGGCAAATCCGCGAGAGCGCCGAGGAAATCGCGACGCTGACGGCAGAACGCTCGTTCCTGCAAAATGGCCTTACACGAGCACAACAGGCACAATCTCAAGCACCTGGCACTACGGAACAGCCCACACCACAGGCATCACAACACGGAAGCGTGGGGTAACCCGCGAGCGCGGCCAGTGATGGCGTCGTCCGCCCCGACGGAGACGACGACCACGGCACGACACACCCCGACACGACGAATGCGGCCCGAAGCCAGCCACACGTCACAATTTTCGGCACCAACCGACGGTTCGGCACTGCCGTCACCGATGCCGCTGAAGCCGCAGCGTCCGCCATGCTTCGATCCCAGCCAACGAGGTGGTCCTACCGTTCAGGCGTGGTTGTTCACGATGAACGTGTTTTTCGACGCCAACTACGTCTCGGAGGATACGACGAAAATCCGCTACGCCGTGTCGTTGCTGCGAGGACCCGCCATGGATTGGTGGCGCGTCATCGTCACGAAGCCGTTAGACTACGAGACTCTACCGACACGGGAAGGACAAACCGCACCCTGGGTGCCGTCGTATTTCGTGGAGGTGCCCCAGTATCGCACGTGGGACGCGTGGTGCGCAGGTCTGCGCGCTCGTTTCAAGCCAATCGCGGCTTCGATCGCGGCGCGACAGAAGCTCTGCACTTGGCGCCAACTCGGTTCCGTCCAAGATTACACGAGCGGATTTCTGGCGCTATGCGAGCAGGTGGGATATATGCATGAGAGCGAGCGCATCGAACCGCTACATCTGCGGCCTAAAGCAGGACATCGCTCAGGAAATCCAGCTGTCGCGGCGTCACCGTCTTTCAAGAAATTCTCGCTATGGCGGAGAAACTTGATTTCTTCCGCCGACCGAGACCGGGGTCCTACGGAAGCAGCCATTGGTGACATCCGCCTCGTGGGACGAACGAGGGCGCCTACGATACGTGTCGTCGCCGCAAATGCCGCTGCCCGCACCGCTCAAAGGGCGCTGCTTTGCGTGCAATCGACCGGGACATCGCAAGAACGAATGCTCGGAAAACGCTAAGGGAAAGGGGAAAGCCCAGCATCAGAAACAGACCAAGCAGCAGGGAAATGCTCGGAGTCAGTAGCAGATGGGCCCTCTACTGACAGGTCACGCCGCTCGCCCGACCCAACCGACCCTCACGAGTGATTGCCGGTTCACGCAATCGACCACACCCGGCCGAATAAGGAAGGGACTACGAAAGACAGCCCCATACTACTTAGTGGGAAAATTGGGACGAACTTAGTTAAAATATTCGTAGACGGAGGAGCCAGCCACAGCCTCATCAACACTGCTACAGCACGAAAACAGCCTCTCGGGATGGGATGGATCCGGATCTCACCACCCTGGACGGGATGGATCCGGATAACCCCGCCGGGGGGTTGGGATGGATCCGGATCACACCACCCTGGATGGGATGGATACGGATCGCACCTCCCCGGTGGGGATTGATCCGGTTCGAAACACCGCGGGTGGGATGGGTCCGGTCCGAACCACCCTGGAAGGGATGGATCCGGACCGGGCCACCGTGGATGGGACGGGTCCGGTTCTTTGACGGCTCCCGGGTGGGTGTGGGTCTTGGACGGGCCCACACCCTCCCTAGAGCCCTTTATTCTTTGGGTCACACCTTCGTTCTCGACCGGGGTTCTTTGCGGGCTCTAGGGTGGGTGTGGGTCCTTGCACGGACCCCTACCTTCCCTACCGGGTCGGGAACCGGATCGACCGGACCATCCGGACGGGGAACCGGATCATCCGGGTCATCCCGGAAGGGAACCGATCGACCGGGTCTAGGTTAGGGAACCGGACCATCCGGGTGGGGAACCGGGTCCGGTACCGGGTCGGGAACCGGATCGACCGGGTCTAGGGTAGGAAGCCGGACCATCCGGGTGGGGAACCGGATCGACCGGGTCTAGGGCAGGAAGCCGGACCATCCGGGTGGGGAACCGGGTCCGGTGCCGGATCGACCGGGTCTAGGGTAGGAAGCCGGACCATCCGGGTGGGGAACCGGGCCGGCCAACCGGGTCGGGTACCGGATCGACCGGATCTAGGGTAGGAAGCCGGACCGTCCGGGTGGGGAAGCGGGTCGCGGTACCAGGTCTAGGGTAGGAAGCGGGACCATCCGGGTGGGAACCGGGTCGGGTACCGGGTCGGAAACCGGATCGACCGGACCAACCGGATGGGGAACCGGATCATCCGGATCATCCGCATGGGGTGCCGAACCGACCGTGTCGGGAGTCGGACCAACCGGGTGGGGTACCGGGTCGGGGAACCGGATCGACCGGAACCATCCGACCGGGGAACCGGATCATCCGGGTCATCCGGGAAGGGAACCAGATCTAGGTTAGGGAACCGGACCATCCGGTGTGGGGAACCGGGTCGGGGTACCGGGTCGGGAACCGGATCGATCGGGTCTAGGGTAGGAAGCGGGACCATCCGGGTGGGGAGCCGGGTCGGGTACCGGGTCGGGAACCGGATCGACGGGATCTAGGGTAGGAAGCCGAACCATCCGGGTGGGGAACCGGGTCGGGTACCGGACCGGGAACCGGATCCACCGGACCAACCGGATGGGGAACCGGATCATCCGGATCATCCGCATGGGGTGCCGAACCGACCGTGTCGGGAGTCGGACCAACCGGGTGGTGGTACCGGGTCGGGAACCGGATCGACCGGACCATCCGACCGGGGAATCCAGAT